CAATCCTTTATGACACACATATTGAAAATGTCAGTTTAGAGCTTAATGTCAGGTAACAAATATCTCAGTGCTATTTTCCAATCAGTAAGTTTTTTAAATCAAACGCTGTGTTTGTGTATATCCTTGCTTGTTGGAATCTGGAAGTATATCTGGAGGTAAGTATATTCTCCAGTTAGACTTTATGTATACAGGTAATCCTAGAATTATGACCACAATTGAGCCCAAAATTTCTGTTCTTCAGTGAGACATTTGTTCAGTGAATTCTGCCCCATTTTATGACCTTTCTTGCCTCAGTTTTAAGTGAATCACTGCAGTTGATAATTTAGTAACCCAATTGTTAAATGAATCTGGCTTCCCCTTTGACTTTGCTTGTCAAAAGGTCACAAAAGGGGATCCCATGACCTTAGAACACAGCAATACATTGGTTGCCAAACAGCTGAATTTTGATCACATGACCATGGGGATGCTGCAAAGGTGGTAACTGAAAAAACGGTCATAAGTCACTTTTTTCAGTACTGTTGTAGCTTCAAATGGTCACTGAATGAACTGTTGTAAGTCAAGGACCATCTGTACTTGCTGCATTCTGTTTAAAGTCTGTCAAAGTTGAGAAATGTGGCTGAAGCTAATTTGAGTTACAAGTTAAAATAAAAACACACAAAATAACAAATTCTCAGCAATACATCCATGCTTTGGCGCCTTCAGTTCCATTTTCCTCAACTTATTTGTTATACAAATAAATTACAAATACTTCCCCAAATTGGATTCCCATTTGTATGAAGAGGACTATTTCTTCTATTTTTTTCCTATACATCTACAATATTTTTTTCAAAAACACATAAACAAAAAGCAGTAATACGATTATAATTTTTTTTCTGTGTTTCTTTCATTTTCAGGGTACATCCCCAGTTGATTAATCTATATGGAGGAAATGTTGTTATTTTGGATGATCTGAAAGAATCCTGCAGTTGTATTTAGAAATCATCTATGAAAAACAGTTACCTACTTTCCACCCCAATCATATTGATATGATAAAAATTGCATATAGAATATGGAAGTCGGGATGATTCAAGTTAGAAGTATGCAGTGTACTGTATCTCAAGATTCAACTCAGAACAAAGTTCAGAATCATGGGAAATACCTACTTTCTTATCAGAACAAATGCTGTTGCTTTCACTTTCAGGTTGGATTGAGGCATATTTTGCAATTCCTGTTTTGGGTTTTGTACACAAATCACATCCCTGTAGCTTTGACAAATTTTCAGGAATATTTAATTAGGGAAGAATTGGGGGAAAATTTTAGAGAAATAACATAGACTTTGGGGAAGTCGGCTCTTTCAGTTTTAAAATTATTTTAGGTTTGTGTGTGTAACTTCATTGTTTTCAGACAAAACTAGAGGGTATTTATCCCTAAAATCATAGTATCATTTTTTAAACAGCTAGGTGAAAGTGATGAGGAAAAAATTCACTGACTACCCCCAAGTGGATGGTGTCCTCTGCACAGGAAATGATCTTAAAACATCCTACCTGTACTATACCAGGGCTTTTCAAACTCTATTTTATGGAAGTCTAGCAATCTGCAAGAATGCGATATACCATAGTTCCACGAGAGAATTGGATAAGTGTTCCCTCCCACCCTTTGGGTAGTTACCCATAAACCCATAACCCAATCACAACAGGGACATTTAAATAAATTAAGAGGGTTTAACCTACATTGGGTAAAAAAAAAAAAACCTTTATAGCAATAGCAACAGCAATAGCACTTATACTTATGTACCACTTCACAGTGCTTTACAGCCTTCTCTAAGTGGTTTACAGAATCAGCATATTGCCCCCAACAATTTGACTCCTCATTTTACCGACCTCGGAAGGTTGGAGGGCTGAGTCAACCTTGAGCCTGGTGGTATTTGAACTGCCAAATTGCAGGCAGCCGGCAGTCAGCAGAAGTAGTCTGCAATACTGCACTCTAACCACTGCACCGCCGAGGCTCTTTATGATAAGCAGTTTTGAGGTAATAAAGGGAAACGTTTGGAAAGCATTGTACTGATGGCAAAACAAAAATTCATTTGAACACAGCCATTTTTCTATCACTGAGCTTTCCCTCTCGATCAGGAGTTTTGAATTTGGTTCAGGTCTTCTAAAACTTGATTATAATGAATGAACATATTACATTAAACTGGGCATTCACCTGACTTTTTTAGAATATCTTAAGGACTCTTTTCTAATAATTCACAAATTACAGGATGTTTGATGTGAGTTAATATATAAAATTACCCAGTTTTTAGTTGAAATAGAAATATATTTGCATACTGAGAACATTTTTCAATTTCTTTAAAGCAAAACAACTAAAATAACTAGCTATGAATTGAATTATGATTTTATATGAATAAATGTTGAAGTTGGCATATCAATTAGACATGTCAACATAGTTTTAATGGTAATCATTTGGCAGATTTTGGCTGATTTTTGAAATAGAAATCAGTATATTTGTACATTGTGGCCTTATATTAAGCCTGTTCCTTATATAATTCATTCGTAAATAAAATCCAGCAAAAGCACCAAATAGCATTGTTTCATTTTGTAAAAAGTACACCTATTTGGAAGATGACCATATCTTGGAAACATAGTAAGATGTCTTCATTGCAAGTTCTTTTACTCATATATATTTTGATTATTACAACTATCTGGGCTACAAAGTCTATTCCCTGCTTGCTATATGGCTAGAATTTTTCTTCTGTTCAATTGTATCCAGTTTTTGGACTTTCCGGACAGTTTTCTTGGCAAGATTTTTCAGAAGAGGGTTGTCATTGCCTCCTTCCTAGGCTTTGTGCCCAAGGCAGGGCTAGGACCTGAGGTCTTTCAGTTTTTACCCTGGTGCCTTACCACTAAGCCAAACTGGCGCTCTGACTAACACAATTATTAACATCACTGGGGATGTGTAGATTCTTTGAAAGAGGGGTTCTGTAATAAATGGGACTGCATTCAATGCACTCCTTTTTAATGATTAACTCAGCTGCCTTTTTCATCCAGCTGCTCCCAGTTGTCTCTGTGCATAAACATCCATTTCATGCAAATGCAAAGTAAGATGGGATCAGCTTCTGAAAGACCTGCCTGCTTCAATAATTTCAAGACTGGATTTTCATGTATGGTTCCATTCACTGGGAAGACTTTCATAGATTTATCACGGCCCTAGTATTTATAAAATAACATAACATAAATGACTTAGATGAGGGAATAGAAGGGAACTCATCAAATTTGCAGATGACACTAAGCTGGCAGGAATATCCAGTGCCCTGGAAGACAAACACAGGTTCCAAAAGGATCTTGACAGACTTGAACAATAGGCTCTATCCAACAAAATGAAATTTAATGTGGAAAAAAGCAAGGTTTTGCATTTAGACCGGAAAAACCAAAGGTACAAGTACAGATTAGGTGAAAAAAGAATAACAGAGATCTTGGAATCCTAGTGGACGGTCACTTAAACAAGAGTCAGTTTTTTGGCAATAGCCAAAAAAGCTAATATAATCCTTGGTTGTATAAACAGAGGCATAGAATCAAAATCACATGAAGTATTAGTATCATTTTATAAAGCCTTAGTAAGGCTACACCTGGAATACTGCATCCAGTTTTGGTCACATTACAAAAAAGATGTTGAGACTTTGGAAAAAGTGCAGAGAAGAGCAACTAGGATGATTAAAGGCCTGGAGACAAAAACATGAAGAATGGTTGCAGTATTTGGGTAAGAATAATCTAGAGAAAAGAAGGACTGGGGGGACATGAGAACAGTATTCCAGTATTTGAGGAGCTGCCACAAAGAATGGATCAACTTATTTTTCAAAGCACCTGCGGGCAGGACAAGAAACAATGGATGGAAACTACAATGGAGAGAAGCAACCTAAAACTGAGAAACTTCCTAATGGTGAGAGCAATTAACCAGTTGAACAGCTTGCCTTCCGAAGTTGTGGGTGCTTCATCACTAGAGGTTTTTAAGAAGAGACACAACAGCCACTTCTCTGGAATGGCATAGGATTTCCTACTTGAGCAGGGGGCTGGACTAGGCAGCCTCAAAGATCCCTTCCAGCTCTATTCTGAATTGAAAATTGAATTATTTATTCAATTTGTATAGCTGCCCATCTCAAACCAGTGTCTCTGCATGGCAGACAATGATTAAAACACTGCCAGAAGAAATGAAATACAAATAGAAACCAAGGTATGATATACTGTCAGTGTCAACATTACCACACACTTGGGATCTGAGGCCCAGGCACATTGCTAGGTCTTCAAAGCCTTCCAGAAGGTCAGCAAGGTTGGGGCCATCCTAATCCAGAGGATAGGTGCTATGGCAGAAAAGGGACATCTCATGGTGACATTCCTTGGCTGACGGGACCCAGAGCATGCCGATCCTGCTGAATCAGATTGGTTGGGCGGAAACAAGGGGAGAAGACAGTCCTTCAGTTAAATCTCATAAAGGCTTTAAAGGCGATAACCAGCACCTTGAATTCCACACAGCATATTGGCAGTTCCCTGAAGCAATGGTGTCACATGTGCCAAATAGCCAACATCATTTACAACCTGTGTTTCTGCATTTTGTATCAGCTGAAGCTTCCAAGTGCTTCTCAAGGAGATCTTGAGCACATTGTAGTAGTTCCAGTAGGGCTTAATACTTTTTAAAGATGGAAAATACCATACAAACATTTATGTCTAATACAGAGGTTTGCAGCTTCTGTACGAAAGATTAGTAAGCAAATTACGGTGATAATTTACATTGTTAACATGGAGGGTATAGAAGAGATTGTCAGAAAATAAACTGTTCATTTTTAAATAAGACTCTCTCTTTCCAGAGAGTTAAAAGAACATTGTAAATACTAGTGTTCATAAGTAAATTATATAGGGAAAGTCTAATTGTTAATAATTTTGATGTTTGTACATATTCACTTTAAAAATGTCACAAAAATTGTATTTAGGAATTAATTCAAATATCTACAATTATTTGACAGCTTCATGTTCCATTTTATTTAATATTTTATTAGTTCAATGTTGGTGATTGTTCCTTTTTACAGTGTAGGGTATACAGTGATAGAACAGATTGGTTTTTTAAAAAATAAGAGTCTTTAATGCATTCATGCTTTCGAGCCTTTGAGGTACAAATGATGTTCAAATAATAATCATCTTGGGGTTAAAGTGCAGTACTTTACCATCTTCTTAAGTCTTATGCTAAACATTCTGAACCTGTATAATGTGTGCAAGAAAATACATTTGTCTAAAGATTAGACATTAGATATCAGGCAAAGATTCTCTCTATTTCTTCAAAATACAAAAATAAATAAAAAGATTGCATAAGAAGTGGTAACTGCCATTTCCCTGATTTTACACAATGGGAGGACTTCTCCAACCCAGCCAGGTAGAACCCTCAAAACATGGTTGAGAGTCACACAACAACAAAAATTTCATACAGACCTTGAGCCCAAAGCTCTATTATATCATTTGGGTTTTCAGTTCAAGATACATAGGAAGAGCTCACAAACCAAGTTAGTTTCTTCCTCTCCACTGACTTGACCACTCATTCCCTGCCAAGGAAGCCTTTTCTCTCAGTAGGGTCCCTACTAATAGAGAGTGCCAATATTCCAGGGTTAGTTGCATGGTAAGTCTGAACAGATACAATGGAGGGGACATCCAAGATTGCATGTTGTTCCCTTTTCATTAAAAAATTTCCTCCTTTCACTGGAGAGATCCTACATATAAGCATAGTTCTTCTTGAAATGTGTTTGAGTATTAGTAGCTTGGGTTGGTAATTAGGCTATTGGTTTGAGCTCCGAGCTTGACAATTTGGTTGCAAACATTTCATCACAATTCGAGGAGACATTGTGAGGGCGTTTTTGAATTGTTCTTTTTACCTGGACGTTCCCAATATTTCCAGAGCAAGGTGGAGAAAGTAGAATAAAAATTGTCAGCAGCCACTAAATTTGCAAATTAAAAAAACGATGTCACTGGTTTCATTTTAGGAACTAGAAGGGGAGAACCCGGGTCTACATTGTGTGGAGACTAAAACTGGTCTAATTTTGCATCCTCCTGAACACTGGAAAGTCTTGGGAAGCGAGGTTATACATTCGCGATTCAAGTATGATTAGTACAATACTCCTTCTCAAGTACTTTTTAAAAAGCAAGGAGCAATTCCTAGTGTTTCCTTGTTCTTGCATTTTGAATTTTTCTTTCCTTTTGATTAGAACTCTTGAAAATGTTTATCCTTCAGAGTTTTCTATGATTTGTGCTTTTGGAAGCCCGTTTTGATGGCTATTCCTTTCACATATGATATGGGGGCTTATGACTTAACAGTTCTTGTAGCAGATAGTTCTTAACTTCTACCAAACGTCCTACTCTGAGGCATTATTGTGAATATGTTTAAAAAACTCCAAACTTTCACTTCCATTTTTTTCCTCAGGAAAACGTTTGTATTTTCTTTTGAAGAATCCCATCTGGAATACACAGTTCCAAAAATAGTTACAAGGTTTGCAATTTCAAAGCACTAATATGTATGCATATTTATATTTTAGAAAAAGAACATTACCCATTGTTTTAATATACCAAGATTCAGCTATACTCAAAATACATCCCAAAGTTTAAACATCCTGAATAAAAACTTATTTTTACATTTAAAAAAACAGACGTATTTCATCCAGCAGGAGGATCCCATGAACCAAGTAAAAAGCATTTTTCCTCTAATGTTTAAATCTGTATCATTTCCCAAATTGCAAAGTGTTTAAAATGAAACAAGAGTTCTTTATCTGGGAAGTGAGGTAACCTAAAATCTCTTGGGTTATATCTGATTACCACTTTCCCCCCATAAATTCCAAAGCCTCATTTCTCCTTCCCCTTTGTCATCTGTCCAAATGGCTATTGGAATTCTCTGCTCATTTTATGCTGTCAATTTCCCCAAATCACATTAAAGTGTAACAAGCTACATAAAAACCACATTTGTTCCCGAATGCCAAATAAAAATCATAGCAAAGGCTGTGTGTTCTAGAGTACACTGCAGATTTCTTTTAGTGTTTAGGAAAGCTATTTTTTTCCTTTTGGATGGATATCTAGCCAACCCATTAAAATGCACCAATGTGTGGATTAATACTGAAATACGTACCTTCCATAAAAATAATATAAGAAGCAAAAGCAAAAAAATTCCAAATAGGGAACCTATTGCAATAAGCAAGACACTGACGCTATGTTTTGTCTTCTGGTTATGACGTCCCTCCAAAATGACCTGTAGAAAATAAAACACACATAGTTATTGCAGGTAGAAACAAGTATTTGGAATACTCTTTAGGAGACCTTTGTTTCACTTCTCACAGTAGTACAGTCTGGATTTGAGCTGTGACTTGTTTACCTTCAAGGTAGATATATAAAAGAGCTTTCATAGAAGTCAAATGCCACTGATTTCAGAGGTATGCTTTAATTCTGATTACAGCATAATTTCTGATGAAATAAACATGCAATAAAGATTCTGCATTTATGACACTGCAAATTAGGCTTTCTTGCAAATAGACACAAACAACATAATATGCTTCTTCACAACAGCACTTGGTTTAGATCTAATAGAATAGGCATCAGATACTGAAATAATGCAAGAACTAATACCAAATGAATGATAAATCATGTTAGAAAATATATCCAAGTAGATCTGGGTTAATATTCAAGTAGTCCAGTGTTTCCTCCCCTTCACTGTCTGACTCCAATACTTACATGAGTGGTTTGCTTATTTTTGTGGAGTTCAATAACTTTGGGGTTTTGATCTGCTGAAACTTCTCCTTTTATCTCAAAGGTAAGCACTGAAGCTTCATCCTATTGTTAAGTTAAAAAAACATTTTAAATGAGCTGCTCTTTAAGGGTTCAAATAAAAAATAATAAGTGAGGCTAAAGAGGTAGGGTGGAGAGTCTACATTGTACAAAGCCTATTCAAAATTATATACTTTTCAACTGAGGGTATTCAGAGAAAGAACATTAAGCAACTAAATCTGATACTGAAATATGACACTTTGTCTGTGGTTCTCTGACACTTAACAATATGATTACACAGCCTTCAGTATGATATCACAAAGATTAAAATATTTACTATGCTTAATAGTGAAGGTGTTGCCTCAAGATGAATATGAACTGTCGATTCCTTTCCACTCTCCATGTCTCCAAATTTGCAAAGTATTTGCAAACACAGTGGATCGTTCTTCATACAAAACTTTGGGACAGAAAGAATATAGAGATGTATTATACAGAGTAAAATGAGTGCAGCACACACAGATATATATGCAAAATATACATATACATATGTACAAAATGTACATATTCTGTACAATGGACAGAACATGATTTTTTATTTACTCCTTCCTCAATCCCCCACCTAACCTGTTGGCAGACTGCATGAAATGGCAAGTGGCTTAAGTCAATGCTATCTCCACTACTGCCAGCCTTATGGGATTTACCAGACAGGGAACCATGATCCGGGTGACCGGATTCTATTTTATTATAAGGTTACGTTAACATGATCTTGCAAGTCTGAAAGTGCTTCCCTCCCTCCATCTCCTCTACGGCTCCCAAATTAGGGAGGGTCTTTTCTAAGCCTCTTGCCCCACATATTCCTGCTGTGGGATAGGTTGTCTTTTATATGACTGTTCCAGGGGTGAAATCCAGCAGGTTCTGGAGAACCGGTAGCGGAAATTTTGAGTAGTTCGGAGAACCGGCAAATACCACTTCTGGCTGGCCTCAGTGGAGTGGGAATGGAGATTTTGCAATATCCTTCCCCCAGGAGTGGGGAGGGAATGGGGATTTTGCAGTATCCTTCCCCTGCCACACCCACCAAGCCACACCATACCCACCAAGCCACGCCCACAGAACCGGTAGTAAAAAAATTGGATTTCACCACTGGACTGTTCCATTGGTTAGGTCTCATTGTCTCCCAAGGTCATTCCTATGTACCATTACAGCTACCTATCAGAAGATAGGGATTTGGGGGTCAGAAGGACGGACGAGGAGCAATTGCTCCTGCTTTGGTGTGTTAACAGATTTCATGAGTAATGTAGGAATTCAACATCATGGTTCACTCCAACTCATGAACTCTCACAAGTGCTCTAAGAAGTTGACAGGGGCAGACTAGCAAGGCACTACCTCACATTTTGCATGCTACCCGACAGCTCTCCCCATAGATGCTTTGCTTTGTTTTGCTGCAAATGTTACCCTAACACAGGGGTATCAAACTCGCATCGTCACGTGACGTATTGCGATGTTTGCCCCTCTGCTAAACCAGGCGTGGACATGGCCAGCGCATGACGCATCCGGCCGTGAGTTTGATAGCCCTGCCCTAATAGCTGTGATTGTGGTGGATGCAAGATAGTGACAGAGGCTTCTTCCCAGTAAAGCAGAGCTCTCCCTCTCAGCTGGTCAGGCTCTGACAAACTCATCAGCATTATAACCTTTGCCCCAGGGACAGCAATAGGTAGTTCTTGTTTTCCTTGGGCAGATAAACCTACCAACCCAGCACATTGTTTCTTAGGACAGTACCACTGAGACAGAAATAGTTTTGTTTGCATAGACAGAACGTGTGTTTTGCTGAGCTACCTTGTGCCAACTCCTGTCTGGAAGAAAGCAAGTTAATCTGCCTCACATATAAGCATGGCATAAAGCCTTGATAGTAATGTATTTCTAATTCATGTCAGGAAAGACCTTTAGAAGGCGGCACTGGTTATCACTTGTCAACTGAAGCCTCAGCAAGGGTTATTGCCCTTTTCCTTAAGTCTTCGTAAGTTTGTTTCCAACTGTTGAATTCCTAGCAGCACAACCTGCCTATGTCTTGTTGTAAATAAATGCCCTTGGGTGTAAAGTGACTTGTTCCCAGATAGCTTAACACTGAAATGAGACATAAATTAAGTTATTTTAGCATAATCAAGCTGCTCTGTGGTTCTGAAAATCTGCTTATAAGGCAGAAATATGCAATAGGACGATATTACAGCTTTAATAAATCAGTAAAAAAAACAAAAAACAGTGAAATTACCAGTGGCCTATTGTCAAGTTTTGTGAGGAATGTAATAAGATCTTGCACCATATTTCCCTGTTCTTCTGGTAAAATACAGTCTCTCCTATGACTTTCATAGGTACATTGTCCATCAGTGGTCTGCAAATGAGCAAAATCATAATTGTCTTACATTTTGGTATCAAAGAAATTTGTAGACATTGCATATAAGAACATAAACAAATCAGCTCAGTAAAAAATTACTGTTTTAATAAAACATTCTTAAATTAAAATAAAACAAATTGAAGTAATACTGGGAAGAGCAAGCTTATAGCTAAGATTTAATACTATCTAAAGTTGACCCATACTTTAATCCATGTCTTTAAGAAAAGAGGATATAGTTTTATAACAAGACAGTTATTTTATATTTTTATTATTAAATTTATTTGCTGTCCATCTCACAATTTGAACTTTCAAGATTTCCTAAGGCATTTCATAGGATAGGAAAGCATGCAGTGATAACAAACACAATTCATAAGGACTCATAGTGCCTATAACAAGTCTTCATGCCCAAAATATGATTCTGTATGGGAAAAAGAACCCCAAATATTCTATGACCAACTGCACTTTATTGTTGATGCAGCATCACTGAATCTTTTCTCCTAATACGATCCATGAGAAAAGTTTCAAATTCCAAATATACTGTTCTGAGTTGGAACAGCTGTGTCACTTGTGCTGGGAGTATTTTGAGTGTGAAACCATTGCCCTGACCTCAGAACACTTCCAAAGTGACTGAAACAATGCAAACCAGCTGTTTTGAACTCAAAACTATTTGGGACTTACCCGTGTTTGAAAAGTTTTGAACCTCCCTGCCTAACCCTCTTTCCCTTTCTATGGAAGTTGTGTAAAAGTAAATCACATTACTTCCATATAAAAATTATGTGCTGATCTTGAACAGGACAGCTCAAAGGCAGGATGCCAATTACAGTGTAAAAATCCACATCAGGGAGCCACAAACATTTCAGGCAAGGCAGCATCAATCTTGAGGCAAACGCCTCGTCAGGAACATCTATGGGATGTGTGTCAAAATGTGCGAGAAGACAGGTCATGAAACCAGACCTGTACTTTTTGTACGGTTTTTGTGACCTTGAGGCATGTACAAAAGGAATGTGTCTTGCATCATCCCTGCTATCTTGCAGATTGTGATTCCTTGTGTTGAAATTAAATTATTCACCTATTCTTATATTTTTTTATAGTATTTTCTGATGATGTTTTCTGCAGGCAAAGCAACTCATCAATAAACAAAGATCCTTAAGCCCCCCCCCACCTCCCTTTGCCTGTTGTAACATACTCTCCCTTATGCTGCTTTACACCTTTTTCCATCATTGGCATTACTGGTTTGGTCTTCCTCTTAGATCATAAACGTCAAAGATAGCATATCACAATCGTTCATAAAGATTGTGGGAAGCTAACAACTGCATAATTTGTTATGCTGTATCACATTTCATGTTCCAAATCCAGAAAATAAATTAAGCATACCTTGACATCCAGTATATTAAACAGCTTGGTATCTCTTGGTAGGAAAGAATTGGGTATCTGTATCAGCAGATTTATATCGGGAGCCAGACTCACTCCAGGATTACTGACCTTTGGTGTAAGGAGGGCCAGAGTTGAATTAGTATTTTATCTGAATTGGTATCAGAACTATTGCACCCTATCACCTTCCTCCAGTCAAAGCTTAAAACAATTGAAATTTTAGAAACCTTCACTTCCAAATGTTGAATTCTGAACACATAGTTCCTGATGCTCGACTATACTGCAAGCTAAAGCGTCTGTATATTTTAACATTTGCAGATTAGAACTTTGAATAACTTTATTGTCATTTTGAATGTACACTAATCGGCATATATTAAAATGAAATTCTCTTGCATACAGCTCTCAAAGTGTCACCACCTTCAGTATACACTACATAAACATGACAAAATAAATAAATACAAAATTATGCATATACCCACATATATTATATGACACGGAGAAAAAGATCTGTGTCCAAAGCATACTTAAGGTAGATGAAATGGCATTAAAGGACATTGCCAGACCACAGGAAAAACATAATAATTACATAATTGGTAGAAGAGACAAAAATAGCTCTTATTTGCCATTCCTCCAGCAAGAAAGTCTTTTTGAAACAATGAACATACGGAGCAAAAATTAAACACCCATTTTTGAAAGGGGATATTTACATTATAATAAACTCGGCAATTCACAATGGCACTTATAATTCAAAAACTGAGATGACTTCCTTCTTTGTGAAAGGAGAGTAACTGTGACATAATGGGTAAAATTAAATGAATAGTGTTCATAAAGTGATCAATGTGGACAGAGATTCAGTGGCTAAGAAAGCAGCTTTGTAGAAGGTTAGATGGTGAACTCGGATTGGGAAGACCTAGAATCAAATCTACCTCAGTCATGAGAAAGCATTTTTGTTTTTTTAAAAAAAATCTTTTCATTTAATTCATTTTTCCAAAAGACAATGAAAATAGAGAATAACATTCATACATAGAAAGTGATGTTGATTGTCTCCTCCATGCAAGAAACTGGTGAATTTTCTTCACTGGGTCCATAAATAAATGATGCTGGAGACGCAGACCTACAAAAAATGTTTTTTTCAAAATAAATAACAGAGAAAATCTTGATTAAAATGGAATTAATCATATGAGTTTCCTTGAGTACCATTTACCATACAGATCTAAAAACTTAGTTACATCCAATTAAATTCCCGTAACTGGAGTTTAATTGTTTAAACTTGGGTTTAATTGTTGTCCTTACTCCTGTTTTTCTATGTGGCCTCTAAACCTGAAAGTGACCTTCCAGAGCAGTTCTGAGAGGTGCAGGAGGGGTTAGAGGTGAAGATGAGATAGTCTTCCGGGACTGATTATCCTGGTGGAATCAGTCACATATCCAGATTACTTGGGAATATCAAAAAAGAACTCACCTATTTTGGGATGACTGCTCTACCTCAGTGGTGAAATCTGAACTGGTTTACTACTGGTTCGCTGGCTGTACGTGCACAGTGCGCACCGTGCACCAAATTCGAAGTGCATGTGGTCAGTTCATGCCAAAAGGAGGCATGTGGTAAGTAGAATAGCGTGCGGTGGGGGGGGGTGATCAGCTGTGGCACGCAATCTTTTTTTTACTTTTAAAAGCATTGCTTTTAAAAGTAAAAAAAAAGCCTCTGATGATTGCGCTGGGATCGTCAGAGGCTTTTTTTACCTTTTATTTATTTATTTATTTTTAAATAGTTTTTATTGATAGAAAATATACAAACAAACATAAATACATTAAGACAACGTACAAAACAAACCAACATCAATTCAGTCCCCTGACTGACTCTTAGTTTCTACATCGGTGGGTTATCAAGTTCTCTTATCTTTCTCTATTCATATCTATCTATATGTTCACATATTTACATAATTGTATATAGGACATTTTGTTCACTCTTTAATTCTATACATTCCTATTGAATATTCAAAAATTGTTTTTATGTTCCTATTTTTCCCTCCAGCCAGTTGTACCAACTTTGCCACACTAAATAGTAATCAGTATCGTCCTTGTCTTGTAGTTCTTTTGTGAGCTTATCCATTTCTGCGCACTCAGTGATTTTGTCGATTAGTTTATCTTTTGTTGGTAACTGCTCAGATTTCCAATTTTGGGTAAATAGTATACGCGCTGCTGTGGGGATATGGATAATCAGATATTTTATTTCTTTGGTGTATTGTGCTGTGATCATTCCCAATAGGAAAATTTCCGGCTTCATTTCCAGTTTTTGTTTTGTAATTTCTTCGATCATTATTCTAATTTCTTGCCAGTATTGTTTTGCCTTTCGGCATGACCACCAGAGATGATAGTATGTCCCTTTCTGTGTTTTACATTTCCAGCACATTGGAGAGGTATTTGGGAACATCTTGGCCAGGCACGCCAGTGGGAGGTGCCATCGGTAGAACATTTTGTAAAGGCTTTTTTTACCTTTTAAAAGCATTTTTTTCTACAACCTATTCAGCCAAAGAGGTTGTAGAAAAAATGATTTTAAAAGTAAAAAAAAAAAAAGCCTCTGATGATCGCGCGGCTCAGCTGGGTATTGGGGGGGCAGGGATTTTTGCTACCAATTCTCTGAACCACCCGCCGTCATCGCTACTGGATCAGGCAATCCGGTCCGAACCAGGAGCATTTCACCCCTGCTCTACCTAGATGGGCATTGTTGATATGGTATTTCTCTCTACAGCATTTGCAACAAGAGTATTTTGCAGCCTTCTCTGAAGAAGTTAAGCATCTTTTAAATTCCAAATGCATACACTCTACCAAGTATATGTCACTTTTTAAAAAAATGCTGGTATCTCTTACTAGTCCTTGAGTTTTATACTATCATCCATATTCCTATATTTACGTTTAATTGCAATTAAATACATATTTACAATTAAATTAAATACATACATAAATAAATACATATTATACGCAAAGATTTCAAAACTTTGTCATTTATTAAAAAGCTGTATGAGGATCAAGAGCTACTATGCACTTTAATATCTTTTTCAGAAATTGGGGCTTTTGTAAGTCAAATAAATCTCAGCTATCCATCTTTATAACATTAAGCCTCTATAAGGTTGAAAGCCCAAACACTGAATTTACCTGGTTATCCTGCTAAAACAGCATTTGTGAAGTTTTTATGCCGCCTTTCCATAAAAATGAGCAAAGCCTGAGCAATTAAAAGAACACACAAGAACATCCACAGGCTCAAAACCCTGAGAAATCAGCAGACCACTGCATGTTGCTTTGCAACAGCTCTATACACATTTCCAAATGCTTTCGCTTACCCATGAATGTGCAGTTCGACTTCGTGTTTCTGAGGCAAAGCTAAAACTACACTGTTATCGGACAGCAGGTCATGGTCTAATTCATTTTCACTAGAAGAAGGAAAGAAATGCATCACAATGTTTACTGACACCCCTGAGTACTGCTTGGTTTTCTTACACAGTACGTTTGGCAATAGATTGCATGATCAAATGCCAGCAAGCACATTTTGTATCATTTCGGTACAAGAGTTTTGCCCATTTGAGGACTGTATCCAGTGGTGGGTTGCTACCAGTTCTCCCTGGTTCTTGCGAACTGGTAGTGGAAAATTTGAGTAGTTCGGAGAACCGGTAAATACCACCTCTGCCTGGCCCCGCCCACAATCTATTTGCTACCTCCCGAGTCACAGCTGATCAGCTAGAAGGAAAAAAACTGTTTAAACTCTTGCCGCAGCACTTCAAAGGGCCGCCCTACAGCTGATCAGCGGTAAAAGGCAGTGTGGTGGTAGACCACATTGTGCAAACAAATGGGTAGACCGGTGCGCTCCAAAAACAAATGGGTAGACCGGAATGCTCCAAAAACAAATGGGTAGACCGGTACGGCTCTGCAAGCGGTTAAAAGCCTGGTAGACCAGTACCTCTGCTAAATCCTAAGGAATTATCACATGACCATCAAACCACACCCACAAAATAAGCCACCCCCACAGAACCGGTAGTAAAAAAAAATTAGAACCCACCCGACTGTATCCATAGCCTATTTACCCAACCCCAAAAAGAAACATTGTGCTCCCATTACATTAGACTTCTGTGAAATTTCTGCAAATTATGAAATGTATTTTTTATGCAGTTCTTTAGTTTTTTTTTCAAAAAAAGGTAAACAGCCTGTAGTAAGCAACGCTTACCAAGTTGCATTAATGCTGATGTGCAAGTCATCTTCTGCTCTGCTGAGTGAACTTGAATCCAATACAAAGCTAATGTCCACCTGAAAAAATGATTTTTTTTTCAACTTGCATTAATTAATCCATATTCTATCAGAATGCATAATAGGCACTGTATTAAATAAATTAGCTGTAAATGTATAGAATACTGAAGTCTATAACTATTCACTTATCAATGCAGCATGAAGATTAACGATCAATACAGTTCTGTGCAGATCTGTGACTTAACCTAATTTAACTACTAAGCATCATAAGAATCCTGTCTATACTGATGTATCCCTGACCCTGTTTAATGAGCCATGCTCCATTTTCTTTTTTTTTTTTTCTAAAAAGTTTGTTATTTTTCAATTACAAAGATAAACATTCCATCTTTCCTTAAGCAGTGTGTTGTCTGGGTACAAGCATCTCTGTGCAACTTCTTGCTCCATTTTCATGGTTTCCAAACATTTCACTGAACTAAACATGTAAACACCGACAGCAAATAAGCCCCAAAGTGTTACCGTATGTCCTACTACTGTTCTCATACTTAAGAAATGTTGCAGTTTGACATTTTAATCTGATCTATTTTTAATCTTTTTACCAATTATTAGAGATACTAGAAAATGCATATGGACACCATATTTTGTTAATAATTATTAACAATAATAATATATTTGAGGCAATATATCATAGTTCCTTGGTACTGTTGTGGCCCGCCAGCGTCCTGCGTGGATCGTGGCTGATCCCGACAACGAGGAAGCTGGTGTGGGGTCGCGCCAGCAGCCTGCGCAGCCGGCGCTCGCATTGGACAGCGAGGAGGCTGAAGAGGATGTGGTGCCAGAGGCAGAGACTCAGCCTGGGCCTTCAGAACTTCCAGAGGCTCCTTCAAGTGGAGAGAGCGAAGTGGAGGAGCCTCTCCTCAATGCTCGAGCACGCAGGGCTGCCAAAAGGCAGAAGTGGCTACTCAGGAGGAGGAGGTCTCCTTGAGAGTAAGGATTGAGGATAATTGGCCACTCCCTTAGCCTATTTAAGTCGCACACAGTTAGTAATTTCTTGCTGGAAACAACTTGTAATTATCATCAGAGCATTTTTGGAAAAGTCTTATCGTATCTTGTTTTCTGGGCTGGTTGCCAACCTTTGCCGGACTTTGGTTTATTCTTGCTACTTAATAAATTTGATAAGGACCGTTGGTGTGTGTCAATATCCTCGGGAATCTGGAGCTGGGGCAGAACAGGTATACAGATATGATAACAATGAACTATATAGTCTACTATATACTAATCAAGTCACTTTTCATATTTATTCTTACCTTTGAAAGATGATCAACGTATAAATATCCAATGCTACAGGTAATTGTCACTCCATGACTTTCCTTTTCTGATATTTGAAAATGTATCTGTGTTTCTTCCTATTGTAAAAATGAACAATATATAAGAAGGCACAAGTAGGTGAAAGTTTAGCAAAAAAAAAAAATTTTTTTTTTCAAATTGACAAGGCACCAAAAATCTCTATCTAGATCAGAGGCCCCCAACATTTATGCCTTAATAGCCCGGCTGGGGAAGAGAGAGGAACTGGGTTGTGTGAGCAGTGGGCCAGTGCGCATGCGTGTGCATGCAGTTCTACTTCCTTGAGCAGTGAACCGGTGCACATGCACATGCATGCCAGCCCGCCACTTGCAGTAGTGGAGCTGTGTCACGGCTCGGTAGTGGACTGCGGCCCAGGAGTTGGGGACCCCTGATTTAGATGTTCTGTGAGATTTTGATTATAAGGAAGACTGAAAACAGGGGATTCTATCTAACCTTTTCCCATTATGCTTCTTTCTTGACTAATTTCGCCCCAATTTTCTGAAAGGGTTTGCTTTGCTAGAAAGGGGTACTTGTGTGTATTCCCAAAAAGAAAATTGGGAAGGAAGGAAAAAAAAATCAGAAAATGATTTAGGGATAAAGGGCAGTGTGGTGACTCAATGGTAAAGATTCTGGGCTTATTCACTGAAAAGCCCAGGTTTGAGACCTGAGCACCATGCGATGGGGTGAGCTCCCATCGTCGCCCCAGCTCCTGCCAAACTAGCACTTCAAAAGTACGCAAAACTAAGTAGATAAATAGGTATCGCTTCATGGAAAGGTAACAGCCCTCTGTGATGTCATACTGGCCACATGACTGTGGAAATGTCTCTGGATAGCATTGGCTCAATGGCCTTGAAACAGAAATAAGCACCATCCCCTATGGCTGGCAATGACTAGCAGAGTAAAATCTGCAGGGACTCCGTTACCTTTTTTAGGGAGAAAAAGTTAACAGCAGTCCCACTTCTCCAAATCAAAATCCTACATCCCAGTTGCTCTTTATTAAAAAATACAGAGGTATTTGGAAGATTGAATAAAACAAGAAAACGGTATACATTTACCCAGAATGTCTGTAGTGGTAATCATTGCAATACTGCTTATGATCTTTGCAGGCCAATAATACCACCAGCACTAACCACTGATAAAAATCTGAAAGTTTAATTCACATCAATGTAAACCTCAGGTTTTTACAGAAAACACTGATTAGGCTTATCATTCAAAGAGAAAAGAGTGAATTCTATCTTTCCAGTTACATTATGTCTACTGATAAATTTCAAATCTTTCAAATTGTAAAGAAAATTTATGCTTTATGAAGTTGATGGGACATTGTTATTTTGGATAGAGAAAAGGGGAAAGGAAACGGACCATCATAAAGAAGGCACAATATTTTGTTGCATGAGTAATCGTAAGTCTGTAGTGTGGTCCAACAAAAGTGATTTCCACGAGGGATGATGTTGGTGATGCACCTGCTGGCTGCCAGCTCCTATAAACTTAATTCAATTTTTTTCTAAACAAATTGGAAACTGTTTGAAGTCCTTACATTCAACACAGAGTAAATTACTTTGTGTTGTTCATGTATCACTGGCCACATGGAGAAGACAATTTATAGATCTAAAAAAAGTGTACAATGTTAAAATTCTGCTTTTAACCTTTTTGTTTTGGGCAAAAAGTGGTATTTGACATCTAGTTTGCTTGCTGCTTCATTAAATAATACTTGGACATCTTTCATTATAATTAAATATACTTTGCCTTGCTAGAAAATTGTACCTGTTGTCTTCCCAAAGAAGAAAGGGAAATTTTGGAAGGAAAAATTATATGGTTTTATAAACAAGTTTTACTGTATAGTCCTTGACACACTTATTCTGCAGTAAGACCCACTGATTTCTATGAAACAAAAAGTAAAACTTTTTATTTTAATCTATTCATCTTTTTCTTCTTATTCAATGAGTGATATTAAGAGGACCAAACAGTCTGGAAGAATGACTGTAGTTTTGTACATTGGTTTAAATGAGTTGCACTGTTTTATTTCAGTTTGGTTTGTGAATTAAGTTTCAAATGTTTTAAAATGAAACATTTGTTTGTTTGTTTTTAGCCATGCGAATGAAAAAGTGTCTGGCAAATTATTTTATACAAAGATATATAAGATAGGTTTCTTACCTGTGCTACAAGTTTGGTGAAATAGAGACCTTTAGGCAGCTGGATATGAAGGTTGGTCTGATAAGCATCATCGCCAGCATTGTATAAGCTGATATTTAATATCAACTGTTTTACATTTCCCACTGAAAGGTAAGGTTTCTTTTCATAAGGCCTATACAAAATGAGTAAGAATATACATCATTTTAATTTGAACCACTTCTTTTTGAACTGCAATTTTAATGCAACAGAAAAGAAAACACTGTATTTAATTTTAGATTTCTTCTTTTGTCCTGCATCCTACTGTTAGGAGTTCAGACCTGGCTTTTCCACTGCAAAATTAAATATGTGCATCCTTTCATTAGAAAAACTGGAATTTGCTCTTAACTATGCTATCATTTTGGAAAGTACATACATTTCCGAAATGTATCTTTGATATGAAACACTGCCTGTAGACTATCAAAGTATACTACCCATATTTATATTTCTCAGATGAATTCCTGCAAGCTGATTTGATCTCAGAATGAAGAGAAGCAGCCAACTGTCTAGTGATAATTTACCAAGTGAATATATTTGATCACTTAGTAAGCTGGTTGTTTATGTCCATCTTAAAGGGCAAAAAAAAATCTCACTTCAGGTGAATCACGTTCCAGGATAGACCAGCAATGTGATTCCGGAAAAAAGTGAGGAAATATCAAGCAGGTTCTGTGGATTTAGGGGCTTTACGTAAATTTATGTAATAGAGGAATACAAGAGCCAACTAGCTTCACAGATATCATAACAGCATCAAATGTGTTTCTCTGGGTCAAAGGAAAACCCCTATGTGATTTAGATGAAGGATAAGATAAAATAGTTATAACCAAATATTTTTTTTCCAGCTATATTTGGAGCCCACGTGTTGTATCTCCCAAAGCCATTAGTGTGGCTTCTACAGAAGTTCCTCCAGCAAATGTCATTGAACTGTAAATGTCAATGCAACAAAAAAGAAAAAAAAATGCACTGGGAATATGCATGTTAACTTTACTTAAAATAAATGCATTTTAATTAAACTCATATCAGATCCAATTTAGCTTTTATTCTGCTTTTTGAGAGGGTGGCCTTTGGGCTGAAAAAAGTGCATAAGATTCAGGTTCTGTACTAGGCATCAGTTGATGTCTTTGCAAGACAGAGTAGTTGCCTCTGTCTTTTTACCACGGAATGAAAAACTTTTTACTGCACATTTGAAGTAGTCAGCACACAACTGTTATCTATTTTCCTGCTAAATTGAGAATTTTTCCATTCCTCAGCTGGTGTGTGTGATATAATTTTCCTTACCATTTAAGCAATGTATAATAGCAGATGATCCATAACCACATATCAAACACAACAAACTTTTGCTTGTCCTCATTCTCTACTCAAACACTGACTCTTTAGTTCTTTATCCTTTCTAGAAAATCTGTTTCCCTCTATATAACTGAAATTGCTCAGTTCCCAATAATTAACAAGACATACCTTCTATGTGTGCTACTTCCACTATCACTGTTGGTTAAACGTTTCCTTTTTAATGCAGCTGATGCATTATCTTAAGTTGCACAAGAGCGCCTGTCATTTTACTCTCAATCAAGTTTAATGAAAGGCAGGACTTGTGCACACGAGTGAACATGTCTATCTTATGTTTCACCCAGTGTTTTCTAATCATGTTAACTAGCAAAAAGGAAAAAAAAAAACACCTAAGAGGATTTGAAAGTAAACTTCAATTTGACATTAAACTTTAATTAAGACTTTCAGAAGAGCTGCCTTGAAATAAGCATTTATCAAGCATTCTGGCTTGAGACCAATACATTAGTCATTTAATACCTTGGGGGAGAAAAGTTGGCACTTGGACAAGCAACAGAAGGTAAAAGTACTACATAAGCAGTAAGTTTCAAATGAAAATGTGAAATAAAAATGGTAATATTTCAGTGGCTAGGCCTCTGGTTAATGGTATACTTGAAAGTTTCTTTAAATATAAATAATTGATATTCTTTCCTTTTCTGCTTTCTACTTCTATGGTATTTTGCTTTGTTAGCAGAGTGATGTGTAGATTATAAGCATCCATAGGGGCAAACTAACAGTTGTTCATTTTATTCAGAGTTTCTTGTTCTTCCTTTAACCCAGTGCACGCAATTTATATGAAATATATACCTGTCAACTCAAACTAATTAAGTTATCTGATTAAAGTAATTTAGAAAGGGCAAATGGGCAGATAAGGCATTAAGTGTACACTAAGGTAAATCATAAATATTCTTACCTGGCTTTTTTAGGTAAGACGGTTGGAGGAGAGCCACGTTAGTGAAATGTAACAAAATGTCAGAAGAAATCTGATCGCAACTTTCTGACTGACAAATTTTATTAAAAGGCATAAGTTTTCATAAGCTGTAGCATCAAATGCATAGATCTGATCTTATGCATCTGGCAAGCAACTGCTTGCAAAAATGTATGCTTCCTAATGGCATTTGTTAGTCGAAAAAGACACCACCAGCTTCCTGATTGTAAGAAGTTAATAGCCTGGGTGGGGGGGGGGAAATACTGTTCGCAGGTAAAGAATAAGTATCTGGAGAACATAATTTGGCATTTCACACCTTCTGGAAAGCAAAACAAGGGAGATGTGATAGCAGCAATCCCATTTGTTTACACCTCTGCCTGCCACTATTCAAGTTGGGGGCTTTTTTTTTTTAACCAGCAAAAGATGACATGATTAGAATAGGTTTTTTTCCTTGTAGCTTTCATGTACTAAAAAAAAACTTCAGAGCAGGAAGAGGAATGGAAGTAAAAATAGGAAAGATAAGGAGATGTTCCCCCTCCCAACCATTTAGCCCTAAAAGTTAAGCCTCCCTCCTTGCCTTATATATTTAAACAGATCTATCTCTCACTCTTAGGGTAGGTATGTTACTAATGAAAAGATGAATTAATGATTTTTTTAAAAAATGGCATTAATCTTCAGCCTATTCTATCCTAATCCTAAAAACTAGGATACACACGAAAATTTGATGAATCCCAAATTGAGCTGATTTTGAAAGCTCCAGGAGATTTTTGAGATGAAACAGAAGTCCTCTAAAACAGGCCAAATCACTATGAATTCCTGGATGGTTCAGAAGGGCATAAACAGGCTACAACTCATCTCTGTAGGAAACAGGTCCCTGGAGAGAAGGGAAAGAGAGGAACAGTAGGAATTGAATGAATGTTGGTTTCTAAGTAGGATTTAAAATGAATTATTTTGACGTCATGCAGAATCGCTGTGGCCCTGAAAGAAGACAATACAAATAGAAATGAAATCAGATTAGAAAAATGTTTCTAAAATAGGGGTTTGCTTGTTTCCTAAGGAGAGGAAAAAATTAACTCAGACCTGAAAAGAAGGCCAGGTAAATTCAGGAAATAGAAGAACAGATTATGCAACATTTGCCTTTATAAAAAGGTAATTTAAAAATTCTAGTCTTTGTAACCCATAAAAGCCATAATTTGCAGTTGAACAGAACTTCTGCTTGAATGTGAAAAACAATTACTTTCCCTTTTAATTATGCACAATGATTGTGAAAATACTTTTTTTTAACTGAAAACTAGGTTTACAGATGGTATCACTGAAGCCTACATATCTATTTACCCACATCATGATAGATAAGACTGGCCTGTGAGACTATTATATGCACAAAAATAGTAAGACTGTGAACTATCACAACGGAAGAATGGGTGGTGAAGATGACAGAAATAGCAGAGATGGCAAAATTAACTTATTTGATTAGAGAAAGATCAATGCCTACATTTATCAGTGACTGGAAACCACTTATGAGCCCTTTATAAACTCCTTGGAGTTCCCACAATCTGAATCAACTCTCATTAATGCCAGATCGCCAATTATTATTACAGGGTAGGAAGCAAAAGACAGCATGAGGTGACAGGTACAATTTTATAATAGAGGACATGCAAAGATCCAGAAAGAAAGGTGTACACTTTCCACTAGTAAATGCAAAGTCTGCGATGAATAAGTCTATGCTTTTTAGAGGAAAAAAAAGGGAGAACATTCCTTCTCTGCCTAAAATAGCATGGGAAGGTATTATAAACCTGTGCATATAAGTGGAATTTCATTGTCCTATCTAATCAGGTGGCAGCACCAAGGTGATTGTGCACCACCTGATCAAATGGTTATAGGGATATTTTATATGATCTAATATTAGGAAGTTGTTATGCTCTTTCAACAATGTACTCTTTTGTTAAATTATAGTGCAGGGGTCTATATGGACATTAATGCATTTGTTGCATTCACACATATTATCAAGCCAGGTTTTTTTAACCATTATTTGTTGAATGGGATAGATTGACATGATTAAACAAATAACACTGCACTGGAAACCGTCTGCATATTGTGCTAAATAAAAAAAAGCACACTAATGTATATAAAAGTTCAGTATATGTAAACAGACCAGTGAAATGTGTTTTGAAGATAGCAGAATAATTGCAGAATATAATCATATAAACATAGTTTCTCATAAAGTGCCAGGGCTCCAATGTTTATTCAGCTCTTCTTTGTGTCAATTTACTCAGCTCCTCTATGACTCCACTCAGTCACGATTCTTTATGCCTTGCAGAACTTTCTGATATCTGATTCCATTCTTTCTAAAAAGAACTTTTTTAGATAGAAAGCTAAGTTCATGAACCTTGTTCACTTTCTCTCAATTATAATGGACTTACTTTGGAAATGTAAATTTTCCAGAAACTTGAAGGTTTGCAGAACAGTTTTCTTGAGTACAAAATCTTGCAAAGACAAACTTTGAAAGAAGAACAAAAATAACTTTTTAGAACAATTTTGAAGATATATATTCAAAAATATTTTTACCATGAAATCCAAAATAACCAATAAGAAAACATCATCTGCCTTTCAAATTACATGAATTTGGCACCCTCCATTTCAATTCATGGCATTCTGTCTCATTTTAGGCAGCTTTTTAAATCAATGGCTATATTTTCTTTGGGGGGGGGGAATAAAACACAAACCTGAAAAAGAGGCTCATAAAAAATGTTTTATAACTTTATGAAGTAAAATCCAAAAGCAAAACCAAGAAAATAAATCATGAAATTAAATAAATATAAAGGGCAGCTTTCTGAAATAAAAGACTGCCTTTTATAATCAAAGATATACAGTCACCGTACCAAAAGTTCAAAGCAGCCCTTATCACCACATAAAGCTTCAGACACACCACAACATCAAACACAGGGTGTTCTTGTAAGAATATCTAGTAAAAAAGCTGCAAAAGCCCTTTCCAACACATAAATATGTAAAGGTGCCAAACCTTAGAAACAAGCAATTTGGGCATTTGCACCAGCAAACCCCAAAAGATTTCTCCTGTCTTGAGTAAAAAATACAACAATAAATTAAATAATTAGCCAGTTGTTGCCAATTCACAACAAAAATAATTAAAAACAATTTCTGGGACAGCCATATCACACTGCCTTATGACAACATCCGCCAAAATTATGGGTAATGAGAAGAATACTTTTTTTAAATGAAATAGTTTCCAAAGCAAAGTGATGATAAAAGAACAGAAGGTGCTTCTCTTTTGACATTTTTGTTGGATGCCACTAGGAAAGTTCATGTGGAAACAAATCCCTTTGACCTTTCACAACAGTATCTAGAGAGCATGTTTAAATTTAAAGCAGTTGTTATGTTCAACTGCTTTTCTATCCTGTATATTGAAAAACTGTGTATCAGAAAATAAAAATATTTGCCTTGATCCAGAAAACTATGCCAGCAGCAGAGGTCCTACGTTATGTTTGAACTACTGCCTGATGTTTTCTGGAAATTCAGGCAATAAGTCAGTCATTTGGCTTAATACGTAGAGACTTGGTTTACAGTTTGACATTTTTAGAGCCATCCAAAGTATACACAAGGCTATAGGGCTTCATCATATCTCAGTTACATTAAAAGAATGGATGAATCACAACAGCAGATGATGAGCCAGATTCCATATGGTTTTCATAGTTACAGAATTTAGCACAAACATGTGTTCTCCTTCCCTTCTGCATGAGAAAATGCTCTTTCAATAGTTTTATGTGTGATAATGTTATAAAATCCATAATTTAGTATAGTTAATACTACTTCAAAGTCAGCCCCACCATCAAGTCCATATAAGTAGAAAACAATCCTTCAGATGAGGATCAGAAACAGAAAAGTAGCCCATTGCAACTGCTGTCCACCAGCTTGTTAGACTTCATTTACCATCGTACAAGCCAGCATGACATACCTTGCTGCGCACAATATTATCCTCCTTCCGTTGCTGAAGTACTGGCTGGAGTGGTTGGAGTTCATCAGCATTTCTCTTCTTCAAAACGTGGTGTCCCAGGTGATAGGTAGCTTCAACATGTATAGGAGTTTGAATATCCCTTACATCTTTCTAAGCATAGTGAAATCAAATAAATGAATTGCATAGAAGTAAAAACAATATTTACCAATCAATAATAGAAGCTATTTCTACGTTTCAGCATTTATCCTGAAACAACACACAAGGTTTTGCAAGGCAGCATATACCCCAAATTTGAATTCTCTCTTATAATGCTTCTAAGGAAATCCATTCAAAAGCAAACCCCAGACAACGGTATGTAAAAATGAAGCCCAAATAGTTTGAACCAGGGTGGATAAAAATCAATGGTTTTTTTTTAAAAAATCAAAAAAATCGGATTTTTTTTATTTAAATCGGATTTTTTTGATTTTTATCTAATTTATTTTAATGAAAAACTTTTGGGGTAAAAATCTATTGTAAGATAGTTTTCTATTTAAGATACATAAATAATTTAGTTTATTCAGCATGAAATGGAGCTTAGTTATGTAGCATGAGGCTGTATATTCTGCAACACTGGGACTATCGGTGAGTCAACAGTGGGTCAAAGGAGTAGCAGAGATGACAGTTGCTCTTTAAAAATTATGATTTAAATCGAGTTGATTTAAATCAAGCCCTTTTACTAGTGATTTAAATCATGATTTAAATTGTGATTTAAATCAACTCGATTTAAATCAAATCCACCCTGGTTTGAACATTGCATATTTAAGAATGTTTGAAGTACTAAGGAAGGACAGTGGAAAATGAGCATAAATCTTGAAACAGCAGTGAAGCTGATACTCCATTTCTCTCTTTGATTAATGGTGCAGTCCTGATTTTACTAGGATGTAAGTCCCATTGAGCATAATGGAAGTCATTCTTAACTAAACAGTAAATTTATGTTTAAGTTCAAGAAATGGAATCTTGTATGCTACAGTAATTACTACACTTTTATGCTGGAATAAGTACAATTTTTCTTTACATTTACACCTAAGTATGGAAGGTTTTATATTGTGTTTAACTCCTTGTGAAAATAAATCTATACAAAGTATCACAGATCATATTAAAGTTGATTAAATTATTCCCTTGTTGTGGGAGATAGGCTTGTTCTTCCCACAGGTTCCCTGCCCTAATTTTCAATAACAAGTTTGTTTCGATCAGTTCATGTGTGTTCCAATTCATTCTGATTTTCCACAAGGTTTCCTTGCATCTGCTATATATTATTTTCATTACACCAATTAGCTATTAATTATTTTCTCAGGTATTGGAAAAAGCATGATTTGAAAAATGAAAGTTTGATACCTGACACCAAATTCACTTAACCTCAGTGTCTTCTTACAAGTTCAAAAGTTGCAGGAGGAGAAAGAAAGAGCTGAAGAAGCTTCTTGGATGAGAAGCGAAATGTCTTCAAAGAAAACCAAGAAAGCCCAATTGCCTCTTGAAAAAGCACCTTTGGGACAACCATGACCTGGATGACTGAGAACCTCCATAGTTGACTTGTGGTAGATGTGAAACATTAGAAGCGAAAGTGTCTATTTTCATGACTTGAATAAATCTTGACAAATGACCATAGTCAGAGTTTGCTGCAGGTTCCCTCAGAAGGAATCAGCTAGAGCTTTTTGGATAACCTTCCCAGTGAATACTTCCATCCCAACAACTCTATGAAGACAATCTTACCCTCATGAATGCCTGATGGGTTCTGCATGTAAAGTTGTTGTTGCTATAGATTCGGACACTTCCAGAGGTGGCTTCAGAGGTTCCATTAGAGGAAAAATAAAACCTCGCTGCAATATCTGGCCTTCTATTAATATCCAGGCTTAGATTATAAAGCAATACTGTAAAGATTAAAGAAAAAAAAGAATAAAATAAGAGGAAGGATTTAAAAAATCTTTAAAAAGATTTCCATATTCATTAAAGTGATGGTGAGCTACTACTTATGTTAACATAAACAAGGCAGCAAGTTGTAAGTGGTTTTACATTTTCAGGATTTACTGTCCAATCTTTGGAACATCACTTTTTATTATTAAATCTTAAAAGAAAGAAAAAATCAGAATGTGTATTCAGAATCTGGTATGTGCTTATGCGCGAGCATGTAAATAATGAGGACCTGTTAATGTCTTTTAGTGTGACATAGTTCTCTGCGTCATACAAATATAACACTGCTTAAAGAACATATAGCTTTTCTCCAGAGCATGCTCTAAATTTGTAATTTACCAAGATACAATAATATGCATAAAATAATATGTACTTAACCTTTTTATTCTGGTTTGAAAAGTTAATTATAGTACAAATGCCTACGCATATATTTTAGGGGAACATAGCCTGCAAGATTATGAGCAGAACGCTCTTTTTATTATCATAACCACTAAGGAGGAACATTGTGGGCTAATCATGTCAGGATAAATTACTTTCAAATTATTAACATAGTGTATGTTTGTGTGTGCGTGCATGCCCATGCTTTTGAGAGATATCTGGAGAATTCTATGCAGCATTCATGGCAACGTTTTTGTAAATGGCTTAGTTTCCTTTTTCTGAGAGAGAACAACTGGCTAAAGACTACCTTGCCTAAGGCAAGACCAGAATTCAGAATTTCCTGGTCTCCAACCTAATACCTTTAACTAATAAACTCAACTTGCTCTCTAGGACCTTATTTATTTATTTATTTATTTATTTATTTATTTATTTACTTACTTACTTACTTACTTACTTACTTACTTACTTACTTACTTACTTACTTACGTACTTACGTACTTACTTACTTACTTACTTACTGGTTCGATTTATATGCCGCCCTTCTCCAGAGACTCAGGGCGGCTTACAATGCGTTAAGCAATAGCCTTCATACTTTTGAATATACCTGCTTAGTAGGGCTTTCGCCCCCTCCCTAAGCGGTGTTCTTTTTTATACAAAGTCAGCTTATTGCCCCCACAATCCGGGTCCTCAGTCCAGGTCATCTTAGATCACATTAACTCTTGTATTTTTTTAAAAAGTTGCACTATTCATCTTTTGGATTATATCTATATATTTATATATCTATATGTGTGTGTGTGTGTGTGTGTGTATAGTGCATATATTATACAAACTATAAGATTATAATATAAACTAATAATATAAACCATACACAAATTTTATATTATATAATATATAGTTTATATATAGAAATCAAGATTTGATGCAGAATTTTACAAGGCTTCATTTCTAATCTTAGGACAAGCAAGTAATTTTCAAGACAGAGACTGATATTGAAGGAACTGTTATTGCTTTGTTACTGACTTGGGTTTCTGCCGTTTTAATTCCTTGTAATCACTGGGTCTAATCCTTGCCAGACATTATCTTCTGCCAGAATTAGGAACCTCCACCCTAAAGCAGACTTCTAGAAGTGAACTCTTTAACTCATATTCTTTGATTCTCTGTCTTTGTACCTTCTTGCCATGTGAGCGCCTTCCCCCTAAATGTTACCAGGCCAATTTGCTGCCAGAGATGAATGAATACCAAGATGTCTGCTATGGAAATTTGCCCCTTTTTTGAGGGGGGGTGGGTTTAATTTTAGCCACTTGGTGTGCCTTACTTTCTTGCTTTCTGACAAAAAAGGACAGGAAATCTTGCTGCCAGTTTTGGAGGCACAATTTCTAGGGAATTTAGAGATCATAGAACACTCATGTATTTTAAACTACTGATAAAATAGTAGCTAGTGGATAACCACTAGCTTTGATATATGGATCAGCTATCATTTGTCATAACCACCAGCAATTTTTTAAAATATTCAGTTATGAAAATGCTAAGCACATAGAGGCTTACCTATGTAACCTGGAATGGTTTGGCTAGTTGAGTTAAAACAAAGCATTAGATTAACACACACAGCTGGTTGTCCATTTCTCACACAGTCCAGAATGGTTCGGTTTACAGAGTTGGGGTGTTTTAAGGATGCTTCCACAATAATTACAGCCCTTGTCCTAAAAAGAGGAAATTTGTGATCACAAGATGTTCTATCAATATTAATAATGCCAGGCATTCCATTTTTAAAGACATACACAAGGATTTAGATTCTAACAGATCAAATGACATTAATTAAATAGCATGCAAGTCTAACTTATTATTTAAAAGCAGACAAGATCAGAATTGTACCGAGCCGAAAACAGAGATTGACTTTTTCCTTCCTTGCTTGTCATTCCTGCTCAAAGTGCCATTTGCCTTTCTGTGTGATCATATAAAGAAGATTTATAGAAAGGCATAGATGAGGATGAAAGAATTGGGCCACTTCTGAAAGTTAAAATCTCTATCTGTATCAGAGTACCCATACTTTGAAAACAGATTGAGTTTTGTGCTATGTACAGATAAATATTTTAACTTGAGAAAGTTTGATGAAGAAATGCCACTTTTCCTTTTGCCTTCAAATCATCCTCTGATTGTTAATGAACACTTAATGGCAATATCTTACTTAGCAAGATGTGACTGTGAAATATATAAATTCTGAGGTTCCCATTGCTTGGTACATAACTCCTAATGGTCCCATATATTAAAGATTTAAGTGATATAACTAATACCATAGCTTAATGATTAACTTCAGAGTTTAATAAGAGAGTCTGATTAAATGTTTATATATACCGTATTTTTCGGAGTATAAGACACATCTTTTTTTTCCCCAAAAAAGAGGGTGAAAATTTGGGTGCGTCTTATACTCCGAATGTAGCCCCACCCAGCTTCTCAAACTGAGGTTTCAGAGGCTGAAAAAAGCATCAGAAATGAAGCTTCAGAAAAGAAGCCCCCAAACAGAGCTTCAGAAAAAAGGCCTCCAAACAGAGCTTCAGAGGCTTTTTTCTGAAGCTGTTTTGGAGGCTTTCAGAGGCAGAAAAAAAAAAAACCAAAAAAAAAGCAAGGCACAAAGCTCACAACCAATGAACCTGTTGCTAAAATTCATCTCTGGGAACAGCTGATTGGGGGTATTTTGGGAGGTGGATCCACCTGCCAATCAGCTTTTTTCTTATTTTCCTCCCCAAAAGCCAAGGTGTGTCTTATTTTATTTATTTATTTATTTATTTTATTTAACTTATATGCCTTATATGCCGCCCTATCTCCAATGGACTCAGGGCGGCTCACAACAATAAAATCCACAATAACCACAGTACAAAGTTAAAATACCTAATTAAACCAGATAAAAGTTAAAAATCCATATGAAACCCCATCAGTCCAGGCCCGGGGACTTGAATAACCAAGTTTTTAATTAGCGGCGGAAAGTGCGAAGGGGATCAGGGGCCAGCCGGAGCCCCAAGGGGAGTTGATTCCAGAGGGTGGGCACGCCCACAGAGAAGGCTCTACCCCTGGGGGCCGCCAGCCAACATTGTCTTATACTCCGGTGCGTCTTATACTCCGAAAAATACGGTGTGTGTGTGTGTGTGTGTGTGTATACATACCTATACATATACATATATATATACATATACATATATATATATATATTAGTTCAGTTGCCTCTAACCCTAAAATGTGTTCGACCCACCTCAGTAATACAGCAGAATCTGACAAAAATGCACCAACTGCTACATCTGTAAAAATAAATAAATAAACAAATAAACAAATAAAGCAGGAATAGAGTTTGAGGACTGAGGCATTATAAATGTTCTCTTTGGCACTTCTCTTTTATTGCACATTCATCTCTGGACTACATCAAAGTGCTATTTGCACATCATTATAGGCTGATATATTAAGACATGTTTTATGATTAGAATGTCTGAAACATATTTATCAAAATATGCCTTCATTGTTTTAATTAATTTATTTACTTCTGCTCCAAATCCACAAGAAATCTGAAATGGAAGAAAGCAAATCGTAGAGTCCTCTAAATGGAAAAAGCATTTATTTATAGCAAAAAATTAAACTCCTGCTCAAAATCTAAAGATAGTAATTTACAATTCCCTCTGCTTCTGCAGCCTTCTTTCCAATAATATGTTCATGGGAAAGGGGCCCCTGGACATAACCACCCCTGCCCTTCACATTTTGAAAAAGATTCTTCAGGTAGTTTGCCTCAGTGACATTTGTGGGATCTTACTGAATTTGTCAGAATGAGAAAAGCAGTGTTGTGGCATCATGGCACAAATTCCACTTCTTTGGGGCCTCTGTATGATACACTATTCAATATAGAAGAAGAGCAGGAATTGCATCATGATGCCATAGCACTGCTTTTATCAGTTTGACTCCTTCTCTTACACATGCTGCTGCTTCAAATTTCATATGCAATCAAGAACATATGGAAAAGTCAAGAAACCTTGAAGCATATCCTAGTTTCAATGGGCAAATAAAAAGCATTTTCCCTCTAGGGACGTGCGGATAAAGTTAGTGCTTGCTTCCTAATTTCTTCTGGCACCATAGACATACGGTCCCTCTGTCCTTCTGTTGGTTGCCTGAAGGGGTCTGATGCATCACTTGGGGAAACACTCAATTAACAAAGGAGTTATAACAAAATATTCTCATCAAAAAAGCACTTTCCACAATATTTGAGAGGAAGTATTGGAGGAGAATGATATACTTTCTGGTTATGTGTAAATATAAGTGTCCAGTCCACTTTCTTATTTCTCTTTGCTTTCCTAGGAAATATTTACTAGAATTGTTGAAGGACTTTTTTCTGCCTGCAAATGTGATTGGATTACAAAGTACCCCTAACAATGTACAGGAAAAGGAGAATGTTGTCAACATCATTAGCATCTGTGTTGGTACAACACATCTAATCTTCACATCACACTTCCTAAAAGTCTAAGTTAGTAGTTAATATGAGTATTATAATAATGATTTCTTTATTTTCATTTCACTCTTCTTTCACTCTTCTTCTTCTCTTTATAACTTCTCAAGTAAAATCCGGCATGTGAAGGCTATTTCCTCAATGTGACAAATCAGCTTGTTAAAATATCAGTGAATATGCCTGCATGCTTCTATTCTCAACACAAGATGCCAGGAACATTTGGTGAAACACTTCAGAGAGCATCTTCATGATTATTATTATTTTTTTTTGCTTCTCAAGGGTGGTGCTCATAGAAGCTTCCAGAGTGCAGAATTTACATTGCAGTAAATCATGAACAAAATTAAACAATGTTCTCGAAGGCATAGAGAAGGAGCAATAGAACAAACAAGTCTTGTTCATCAATACCTAACACGTTTTTCATGATATGACCATCCTATTTATTTTCATGGCATTCTTCTGGACCAGTGGACTCCACTGGACCCCACCGGTGAAGATTGTAGATTGGAGGCACTCTGTTACATTGGCTTTCTCCTTTCTGGTTCCACCCTGGGAGACAAAACAGCTAAGCTCTGCTGTGGAGTGCAATAGGACTTGGTTCTCTCCCTTAAACAATTTAACGTTTATATGATACCACTGGCGAAGTCAGTAGCCAGTCTAGGATGAAGGATACTGCACACTGCTAGTCCAGGCTGTATGAGGATACTGTGGAAATCCTTGTCCAATGTCTTGAAGCTGTGTAGTCAGCTGTGACCCTGTATGGTCAAAGTAAGTTCAAATTAAATCCTTGCCAAGATGGAGCCATGATCATGCTGGCTCTATCCCAACTTCATTGTTCACTGTAGACAGAGGTGCAATTCTCCCAAAGGAGTGCTTCATTGTTTGGGATTCTTCCTGGAGTTGCCTGCTAGAAAAGCTAATGGAGGATTAGAGTTGGGAGGCTTTCCCCAACTTCAGTTGGCACATTAATTGAAAGACCAGGTCTTTCAACTTTTTTGATCGGGAAGTTTTGACAACTTGACTCATTCCCTTAGCACCCCAAACTTAAAGACTGCAATGCACTCTACATGATACTGCCTCTAAAGATAATTTGGAAACTACTACTCTTCTAAAATGTGGTGATCTGACTACTAACCTACTAAGTTGCTTCCGATTCCAATTCAAAGTGCTGGTTATAAACTAAAAAGCTTTATGTGGCGTATCTTCTAGGTCCCTCTAGAATTATCTTGCCCATGACTTCTGGGGAAGAAATGGTGAACTAGAGACTGCTCCACTAAAAGTGGGGTTGACAATTGCAGTTGAATGATGAGTTGGTAAGTAGACCAGCTCTCTCCAGACAAGGAGAGAACTTGAGATCCCCCACAAGTGCTCCTTACAGCTGCTCCTTACAGTGACAAGACAGTGATCTCTGGTGAGTTTAGAGCTTTAGGAGACAAGGGAGTAGTCATCTTTACTCAAATCATGGTTAGTACCTTTTCAAAGGACACAGAATTTTCATACTTAATTATAAGACTCCTTCCCATGAGAATATGCTGTTATTTTGAATTCTTAAAATGATAGGATGGAACTTTTGAAGGCTGAACATTAGAGGAACCAGAACAAACTAAAGATTACAATGAAAGAGGAATACTTAAATTTGATTTACTAATACAGAATGGAGCAAAATACTACTGTCACATGTAGGTATACTGCACTTACATTTGATCTTTTTACCCCACTACTAAAGACTTCTAATAAAATTACATGTCTGGTACTATTTTTCTATTTTCTTTTTTCCAAGTTGTCAAATTCCAGTACATTAGTTTGAAAAAAAAATAGCATAGCAATGCTACAATTTTAAAGCATTGGAAAGGCCTGTTTATTTCAATAAGACTCAATGCTAAGTAGATGCATATGGGACCATGCATATTAATTCACTTACATATAAACAGGCTGTCTTTAAATTGCTCTTTACAACTTGTGTGTTCCATGCCGGTTGTATTGTATTTTATTATTTGCTTCATAATGATTTTGATTTATTCATTTAGGTTTATGTCCCAGACAGGTGGGCAAGAAATGAAAAAACTTTGCCCAAGTGATTTAAAGCACACAAAATACTTAAACTCACCTGAATACCCATTGCTGTCTACATCAATTCTCCCAGATATAGATTGACCAAACATGCGTAAACTGTTGCTGATTTGATGTCCTTGAATCCTCTAAAAATTATTATTAAAACAAAAATCAAAAAAGCTGCAGTAGAGAAATAACAGAAAATAAAATCATCCTTCCTTCATTGTGGGAGCTTTGTATTCAGTGCTAAGTATAAATGATGATATTTTCAATATTCCAAACACCTTTTTAGGATTAGCTAAACTGCTCTGAGAGCATCCTCAGATTGTCTATCAGGCCAAGACAAAATTGGCCATATTCTTAAAAGTTAAAGGAGGGGGACGGACGGAAAAAGTTGCACTGGTTTCATTCCATCTACATTTAAAGGAATGCATTCATAATTAATTATAATTACATTAGTTATAGGTAACATTAGTTACTTTGTCTTTTTTCTGCCACATTAAATATTACAATTTGGTAACAACTTTGGGCAGGGATGGGATATGTAAAACATTTTCAACATCTACAGGTGGCTTTGGAACCACCATATGCATTTCTGTTTTACAAATACTTTTGTGCTGCTACCTTAAAATATTGTTAACATAAGCAGCTTGTTTCTACAACTGAGCTGGACTACTTGTGAACCGTTAAGCCTGATATTATGACTCACTTAGATTTGCCATTTAATACTAATAAAAAGGGTTGATACAAAGTGGTCTTTTTTTCCATTAATGACTGATAGAGGAAAGGGCTGTTAAGCAAGTAGCAAAATACAGTTAGCATGCATAAAGGTTTCCCATAAGAGTCAACACTGACAGTACCAAGTAATTGGGACAATTTAGATCTTTGTTAGGTATTCCATCCTTCCTCTTCCTCTGCCCCAGCTCACTCCTACTTTGCATGTATAACACAGAATTTGTTACTGGGGAACTATTGTGTCAATAAATTCCTACCATGCATGCTTTCCACTTCTATGTTCTGCTTAATATTAAAAAAATGTGAATATGAGAAATCAATTTATGCTAGCTTATCTAGTCCAAATTGGCAATTGTCTTCCAGGACTCCACGCTGGAGATTTTTCAAACCTATCTGGAAATACTGGACAACTGAACAGGGGTCCTTGACAATTGAGTCTGCTTAAACAAACGAAACAGTTAATTCTGTAACAGCAAGATATTAAAAATAGTAGACCCAAGGACAATTTAAAGAGACCTACTTGTGAAAAAGTTGGTGATATTCCGTCTTCTCTGCCATTGTATATATAAACCGAGCCTTCTAAATCATTTTCTTGTGGAGCTCCAATGGCTACATCTGTTAAAAAGCAATGGAAAATGAAATTAACCATGCATTAATTGCATTGTACAATTCTTTTTTTAAATAAAAAAATAATTATGACTGGCATAGATCCCTCCCTGCAATTTATTTTTTATAGAAGAATCACAAGATAAATGAGGAATTATCTTGATAGGAGTATTGGGGGGGGGGGGAAGGCAGATCCGTATTAGGGGATAAATCCTCAGAGATAGTAATCAACTATTGGAGAACTTAAAAGATGTAGCAGAAATATATCATTTGCTCCATCTCTTTATAGAAATTATTAAGATGCTCTCATAGATCATATGGGGAAGTAGTAAAGCAGAGAAACTTCAACTGCTATACATTCTTACATAATTTGTTTCAGTCAATTATAAATTATACCAAGCAAAATCCAATGGGAAACAGATTTCTCTGGCAAAATAGACTTCCATTTCCTAAATAGGTCCCATGCTCCCTGAATATTCTCTAGAAGTATTCTCTAAAAGTTCTATCAGAATGAATTTGGGGGACATAAAGGAATGAAGGGGGAAAGGATGTTGCATGGAAACCCATACCCAGGCTCTTCTGTCAACATTATTTTTTAAAAATCAGAATTCATCATCTTGAAAGTTACATACAAAATTATATTAATAATTTGGAAAATCTTTTTCTCGAGGCAAAAAATGCTACAATTAAAGGGGGTGCTAGATGAGAACGCATCAGTTTTGATTAGCTGTATTGTAAATATTCTGCTAGACGTAAATGTGGAATCAAAGTTCTGCACTCTTAAAATAATTACATGTATCTCCAGGCATGGTTCAGAATAGCTGCATTTACAAGTAAATACTGAGCAATGCATCCTACTCTTCCTTTTACACTACTACAGATTTTTTTTAAAAAAAACGTAATACCTTCAAAGCCATCATTATCAATGTCTCCTAAATTGGCAATGGAATCACCGAACCTTGCTGCATACAAATCACTTCCAGCTAGTGCTGTCTGCAGCTCCATCATCTTTGCTCCCTATAAAAATAAGTTTGATTATCCCTGAGTTCCTAGGTAATATATTACAATCATGAGGGATTCTGTTTTACTTTTAGGTATATAATTTGTAAGTTGCAAACCGCATGCAGCTTCCATTAAATGTACCTCTCACAAATCTCCAGGTATGTTACCAAATTAAAATATTCTATGTATTGGAGTCATTGTCACACTTTCTATATGGCAATTACTAAGGCTTAAAACGGATTTAAGGAAGTCATACCTCATCCCACCCCAAATAATCACACAAGTAACTGACTAAATCTGCAACTGAAGAAAACAACTTTTGCATAGTAGAAATACATTTTAATGGTGCTGTACTAAGTTCTTCACTGCCATCTCTTTTACAGGATCATTTAACAAAGAAGAAAGCTAAATTAGAGACATTTAGTCCCTGTAAGTGACTTGGCTTCTGGATGAAAGGGTACTTTAGTAAATTGCAAGTATAAGATGAAAAAGCCTTTTCATTAAAAGTGTCTGTTTATATAACTTTGAAAAATCAAAGTCCATACCCAGAAGTTAAAAAGTAGAGTTCCTGTCAATCATTTTCAAAGTGGCACCATGCAAATGTTCAAACAACATTTGAAGGAAAAGAAGCCATCCATTGTACCTAACCATTTTCATTAAAAAGTTACATGCCCAGGCAGTTTCACTTCCATGAATGTTCTTTCAACAGCATTATAAAAACATAAAGAAGTAGCTGTACTTCCTAGCTTTTCGATATTATCTTCCAATTTTTTTTATTAAAAAGGGAGGGGGAGACACTGAAGAACTGTTTTGCATCACTCTAAGCTAGCCAGGTGCAAGACAGAAATTAGTCAGAAAAAGCTTAGGTGCCTCCAGAAGTAAAGGCTCCTTCTAACAGTCAGAACAGGACTTTTCTTTATAGATGTGTGGCAAAGAAGAAAAAAAATAGTATGGAAGAAGAGTTGAAATATTTGGACCACTATAAAATTTTATAACTACAGTGTTTCCCCTAAAATAAACCATGTCTTATATTTTTTTTGAACCCTGAAGTAAGCACTTGGCCTTATTTTCGGGAAGGTCTTATTATTTTGGGGTGCATGAAGCAAGACGGGGCTCCTCTTGCTGTCTTACCTGATTTCCAGCTCTGTCTCCCTAACCCTAACCAGAAGAAATGGCAGGGACCAGCTGTGCATGTGTTTAAATATTTTCGGGGAGGGCTTATTTTGGGGGGAGCTTATTTTAGTGCATGCACTCAAAAGCCCGATTGGGCTTATTATCCGGGGAGGTCTTATTTTCAGGGAAACAGGGTATATTCTGACAGTTTCACAATAGATGCTTTATCTAGAAATTTGTTGCATTTCCATATTAAACATGTTAATCATTTCTACATGCAAAGGAAGCTATCAAAATAATAATAATAATAATAATAATAATAATAATAATAATAATAATAATAATAATAATAATAATAATAATAATAATAAGCGTTATGAAAAAGCTGGGCCTAAAAATGGATCATTTATCTGTTTGAATCAACTCCACAACATTCTTCAACAAGAATGAAGGAATACTTACCGAACCTGAGTTGAGGTAAACATAAACCCTTCCTTCTTCTCTGACTTTACTATACATGGGTGCACCAACTAGTAAATCCGAAAGGCCATCACCATTGAGATCCACCGCACAAACAGTAGCTCCGAAGTAAGAACCAAACTATCCATAGAAGAGACAATAGTTAGCCATAAAATCACTAAGATGTATGAATATATCATGACATTTAACAAACTTTATAAATGTATATTACCTTTTTACCCCTTAATTCACTTAAAATTGATAGTTGTTTGGGTTCAATTTTAAAAATGTAAACCTGAAATAAACAACAAAGGTCAGCTGCATCAGAGGCCCTAAACAAACAAACAAAAAAAACCCCAGCAAGTTGGGGTTTCTTTATCAGTAAAAGAAGCAGGGTGGATAAAAATCAATGATTTTTTAAAAAAAAATCAAAAAAAATCGGATTTTTTTAATTTAAATCGAATTTTTTTGATTTAAATCGGATTTTTTTAAATAAAATGCTTTTTGAGGAAAATATATTACCATACAAAGGTTATTCCATCATGAAATAAAGATTAGTTTTTTAATTATGTAGAATAAGGCTGTATACGTTTAATTTTTTTGGTAAATAAATTCCATTAATCCATTCACAATGTCATGCTCTTCCAGAGGTTTTTGTAAGATTATTGGGGAGTTTCTCTGCCTACAAGATATTATCACAGATGCTTAGTTTACTTTTGCAGTTCTCAAAACTGAATTTGACTCAGCAGAGATCACATGCCTCTTCTTCACAGCAAAAATGTTATAACATGAACAGAGTTGAGAAAAAGACCTTAATCCTATTGTTCTACAAACCTATGAATACAGAATCAACCCCTTCAGTGCTAAGTTTCAAGAAGTTCAGTTAATAGAATAGAAACAATATTTTTCTGATTGTTTGGAGTGGAATAGATCTGCACAAGAAGAAAGTGAAATTAAGTGTGAGGAGGAAGGGGCAAGCAGACAAGCAGTACAAAATGAAAGTGAAACTTTCTGAGCACAATACTGCACAGCCACAGACAGACAAGTCTTTGGATCTTTTTGTGTGTATGACCTGAGGTTTATCACATTCTTTCCTTGGAGGAAAAAACCTATAATGGCAGCAGGCCGTAAAAGAGACCCAGTTTGGCAATATTTTAATGAAGTTCCTTTACCTATCGGTAAGGCAGGCATGCGTGCAAACTGCAAACACTGCAACAAAGAAATGCAAGGCCTGGTGGCCCGAATGAAGCAACATCATGAGAAGTGCTGTGATGAAGATGACCAAAGAAACACATTTGAACAGGCAGGATCTTCAGGTTGGTAAACATTTTTATTGAATCATATTTCTAAAGACTGCCTTGAACTGTCATATTTGAGCAAAATTATATTTCTTATTATTACTGCATGTTACTGACATTTGGTACAGTTATGAAGAAAAGCAAATATTCCTTTTGGGGCAGTGCTGTGTACAATAAGCAGAAATTGTATAAACAATAAAATAACAGCATTGACTTTTTTGTTTAGGGGAATTCATGGATTCTGGAAACTATCCATCTTCAAGATCACCATCCTCCTGTTCTACAGTTTCAGAGTTATCCATCCAGGATAGTGCTTCATTAGCATCATCATCATCAGACACCCACAGCCACATATCACTATCACCTAAAAGAAAGAAAAAACCCTTCCCTCCTGGAACCACCATAGATAAGTTTGTGATAAAAACTAGCAGATTAGAAAAAGAGTTAATTGATGAAAAAATTGCCCAGTTTGTTTATGCAACGAACTCTTCTTTCCGTCTGACTGAGAACCCACATTTCATTAATATGGTTCAATCACTGAGATCAGGATACAGTCCACCCAGCAGAGCAGATGTTGCAGGGAAACTGCTGGATAAAGTGTATGACAGAGAAATGGAGCAATGTGCAACAGCTCTGGAGGGTAGAAAACCTAAGTATTGATGGGTGGAGCAATGTCTACAATCATCCTATTGTATGTGCTTGTATAACAACAGAAGGGAAAGTCTTCCTTGCACAAACAATTGATACCTCAGGAAATGCACACACAGCAGAATACTTACAAGAAGTGGCAGTAAAAGCTATAACAACATGTGAACAAAAATTCAAATGTCTAGTACGCAGTTTGGTCACAGACAATGCTGCAAATGTATCCAAGATGAGAAGAAATTTAGAAGACCAGGAAGGGAATACAAAGCTAATAACATCTGGTTGCAGTGCTCATTTGCTGCACCTCTTAGCCAAAGACTTAAGTGTTCCAGAAATAAGGACTAATGTTGTTGAAATTGCTAAATACTTCCGTAACAATCATTTTGCTGCAGCAGCTCTGAAAAGGATGGGTGGAACCAAGCTAATGCTCCCACAAGATGTTAGATGGAACTCTGTGGTGGACTGTTTTGAGCAGTATATCAAGAACTGGCCTATTCTGATGACAGTTTGTGAAGAAAATCGAGATAAATAGATGGCACTGTCACGGCCAAAATCCTCAACATTGGGCTTAAGAGAAATGTTGAACATATGCTGAGCATCCTGAAACCCATCTCTGAAGCTTTAAACAAAATACAGAAAAATAGCTGTTTTATTGCTGATGCTGTTGAAATTTGGAAGGAACTGAGTGAACACTTAAAAACAGAACTACACATGGACAGAATTAAATTACAAGCATTAAAAAAACAAATGGGACAAGTACTGTCTCCAGCTCATTTTTTGGCAAATATTGTCAATATCCAGTATCAGGGTCAAAACTTAAGTGCTGAAGAAGAGGAGTTAGCTATGACATGGGTATCCAGCAATCATCCATCTGTAATGCCAACTATAATAAACTTCAAAGCTAAGGGGGAACCATTCAAGAAATATATGTTTGCTGAAGATATTTTAAAGAAAGTCACACCAGTGAACTGGTGGAAGTCACTTAAGCACTTGGATTTAGAGACTGTTCAAGTAATGATTTCACTTTTAACAGCAGTAGCTTCTTCTGCAGGCGTTGAAAGAATATTCTCTTCCTTTGGACTCATTCATTCTAAACTGAGAAATCGTTTGGGACCCGATAAAGCAGGAAAGCTTGTTTTTCTTTTCCAGATTATGAACAAAGAAGAAGATGAAGATGACAAGTGAGCTACAGAGGACAGTATTTAAGTTTTTCATGTGTAGGCTGGGCTGACAGTCTAAGTTTCTTAAAATATATATATTTTGTTTAGCCAAATTAGTTAACAAACATGGATGTTTGTTTAAGCAAATAACATATGCTGTAATGTTATTGTTTCAGTTGAATAAATCTATTTAAATTGTTATTATTAAGGTAATGATTATTTTTCTCCTTCCTAAGTACAACAGAAAAGTTGTCCAAATATGATTAACCTATTAAACTGGGGATAAAAAAACTAATATGAAAAGTTGTTATTCTAAAAATCTTCATCTACTTGCATATTAAAGTTATACCAGCAAGAATTAGTCTTTATGTAGAAAACTATGATTTAAATCAAGCCTTACTGACTAGTGATTTAAATCGTGATTTAAATCAGTTTGATTTAAATCAAATCAAATCCACCCTGAAAAGAAGCTAACAAAATATAGTGTTTCTACAAGGTGAAAAATGAGAAATGGCCTGAATGGAGCAATTGCCTGAGGCAATGGGGTTTGCAGTAAGCCATAGCAGCTTTCATGAACTTCCTGTTCCTCTGTCAAAGTGATTATGTTGCAGAATTTGGCCTAACCTTGCTTACTGTCTTAGCTGAAATAGGAGAAGTTACTCCATCAGTTACAATGTAGGGTTCAACTACTGATCCAGCCAGCTTCTCTGCACAGATCAGTAGTAGGAAATCATTACTTCTTTGCTTCAAGCAGCAAAATGTCTTGGGTCATTCAAGTGCAACACTGATCAACTTAGGAACTTCTCTTGGCAATGGCCTGAATTGGACACTTCACTCTCTGATGTCTTCTAGCAATGAAAATACATTACTTCATGAACCTTCTATTAATACTTGGTGGATAAAAGTCTGAGGATCATTGACCATCTCTAGCACAAATACACATTGGCAGTTGCATCCACTGAAACAAGCAGCATATGTATCCTTGGAAAACATTTGTGGAAAAAAATAGCCTCAGGTTATTTAGTTATCACCAAAGAACCTCTGACGGATAGTTCTTCCATGTCATTGCAAGCTATTAATTTATTTTTACACAGAAGTATTTTCATAATCTACCACTTTAAAGAAAAAGCTCTTACTTTACCAGTCTGCTCCTGCTGGGGAGCACCTCCAATTACTTCTGAACTACTTGCAGAAAGGAAGTGACCTGCTCCAACAGAATAACCTATCCATAAAAGAACAGTGAATGGAAGCAGTGAGTTTTCAGATGCAGCATTCTGTTTCATTTCAAATAATCTGAAAGCTTAAATTAAAGGAATTCTTTATTTGAGCACTGATTCCCATAATTGGGAATAAGTGTGTTTGCAAACGAATAAACAGATTAATTCTGTGTCTGTGCTTATATGTCTAAAAGTTGGATATCCAATCCCTTTAACAATCTATTTAGGTACAACTATTAGGATACTTCAATAGAATGTGGACATACACTTTTATAGAATAATTCCCATTTATACTGCCCAGAAGGCAATCAGGTGACTCTGTTGTTTATCTCGCAATACATGTGGCAATATATGCCACTATATGCTGAATTGGCCCATTCAACATACCTTGCTGAGCTACTCTGAACAAGGGGGAAAAATGCTCAAATGGTTGTTTACACCAAAGTTAAAACTGGTAAGTTTGACTATAAAACCAACTTCCTGGGTGTGTATATATATGCAGTGCAATCACTGAGAACTGCTTTGCATATGTTCTGTTGAAAATCTAAAAAGCGAATGATTTTTCTAAAGAAAATTAAACAAACAAATGCTTTGAGTTAGAATCAATGCTCTCAAGACAAAGAACTAGATTGTCTACATAAAGAGTGCAATAAACTAACATATACTACACATTCTTGAGAAAAAAAGAAGAAACTTCAGTATCTTAATATCAGCTCTGGTGGAATCTGATTTGCAACTCTCATCACATAAACGAAACGCACAGCAGAAGAAATGTCTCACACTCAAAATATTTTGCATAACCCCACAAAATCCCATACATAAGGAAGGCAACAAAGTCCCTTAACATTTTCCTTTTCTAAGAATAGAATGAAGTCTATGGAGGGCTCAAAGTTGTTTCCGCCCAATTTATCACAGTCTTAGACCAGAGAACAGAACAAATAAAAATGTAAATATACAATGAAAAATTCTAGTATAAAATAATAAATAACTAAAATCTATAATAAAATCCAGTCTGTCAATTATATATGGTCTAACTATACTACAATTACAATCCATAAACTGTGTGGCCTTTTGTAGGTTCAACGTTAAAAGGGAAAATCCCATAGGTCATGAAGGCAACAAAGTCCCTTAACATTTTCCTTTTCTAAGAATACAAATTAAGTCCATGGAGGGCTCAAAGTTAATGCCGATCATACTTGAGGCTTCTGCTTAGCTCCACAGCATGTTTGTTTCTTACTCACTTTGTATAGTGAAACATACAAGTTAAAATTAAACCAGGTAGGGCAAAATGCTTAAGGTAATAAGAAACAGGTCAGGAAATGCACTGCTCCCTACAGCATCACCATCTTCCTTTTTTTTTTTGTCTGGGAAGCATACTGTCAAGGAGGTATGTTAAACTGAATGTTCATATGCAAATATTAAATAAAAAAAAAACATTTACCTAAATAACTTCCATACTTTATCTGATGATTCACATCCAGATATGAAATAAATATGTTTGCTGTTTTATTGTACACAAAGATGGAGCCAGCCCAATAATCTGATCCTGGGGCTCCCATAATAATTAAATCCTAGAAGAAAACAAAAAGCTTAAATTTTTAATACATGGTTTGGAAGCTCCTGTAGCTATTCCATTACTAAATACATCCAAGCAGGCCAAATGAAAAAAGGCGTTTTGTGAGCAATACACTATACAATGTGTTTTTCTCATGTAAAGCATAAAAAAGTTCAACCTCAGAGAGAAGGTGGTGAGTTTTATTATTGCTTTGCATGAATAATCCCAGATCACATCATAATTTATGTTCTCTTAATTTCAAAATAGAAATGTTAGGCATATACAGGGCATTATATTTATTTTAAAACTTGTCATAGTCTTACTACGGTATCTTTGAAACAGCAGCCCAAGATCACAGATTGGTTTTGATTGAAACCAAACAACAATATTCCCTCTTTGCTTGGAATTAAAGCATGCCACTATGGCAACATCTGCCTCTCAGGAAGGCGATGCAGCTAGCAGTCTAGAATGGACAACCTGAAGCAACTTCTTTTCAACAACTCATTTCAATCACCTCTTGCCAAGGAAAAAGGTGATGGTTGGGGGGGGGGGGGGGGGAGAGAGAGAGAGAGAGAGAGAGAGAAAGCTCAGTCTTGAAGAACATGAAGGAGAAACTCCAGTTTGCAGGTGGATGAAGCAGGCAGCTTCCCAGAAAGGTCTTGTTTCAGTCCTTTGAGTTAGTATGCAATAACTGCGAGTTTCCCAATACAGGAAGCCCTCAAATTATTATCACAATTGAGCCCCAAATTTATGCTGCTAAGTGAGAAATTTGTTAAGTGAGTTTTGCCTCATTTTATGACTTTTCTTGCCACATTTGTTAAGCGAATCACTGCAGTTCTTAAATTAGTAACACAGTTGTTAATTGAATCTGGTTCTGACTTTGCTTGTCAGAAGGTCGCTAAAGAAAATCACATGATTTGCATGTGAAAAGGACATTGCAACCATAATAAATATGAGTCAGTTGCCATCCAAATGTAAATCATGTGATCATGGGGATGCTGTAAGGGCATTAGTGTGAAAAATGGTCATAGGCAACCTTTAAAATGCTGTTGTAACTTCGAACGGTCACTAAATGAATTACTGTAAGCTGAGGACTACCTGTATATTACCAAACTAAATGTATTTTATTTCATGAGTAAAATAAATAGCTTCAACAGTGAAGTAATAATCTTAACTTACGTACCTCAGTGTAAAATGTTGATATCCCAGCTTGACAAGATCCATATTTTTCTCCATATTTTCTCCAAAAATCTGGATATTCACCATGTGATTCAGAAAAAGAACATATTAAGGCCAACAAACTAAAAGAAATAATTCTTCATGAATATCACATGCTTTCTACAGTTGTTTTGACAAGCAAATTGATATTAGTTAAACTATTACCTGACGGCAAGATATTATGCTTACTAATGCCGGAAGAATAAAGGTTTTTAAAAAGCCTTTTTTTTTCAAAAGAAACCCTCACTGTCCAGTCTCATTTCCAGAATCCTAGTTTAAATGATTTAAATAATGGAAGAGACTCATTATGGAAAATATTTTCCTAATAAATATGTATGCTATGTGGGTTTTTATTTGTTTATTTTACATTTTAGACTTTACTGACAAGAATTGTTTGAATTGCTGTTTTCTTCCATTCCCTTTACAATTTCAGACACAATCTGGTGGAAAGAATATTAGAATGTTCCAGGTTGGTGAAGTTTTAAAAAATCCTGGAACCCCTAATCAAGAGGTAAAGATCTCATGACAGAAAACTGGTTCTGTTCAAGTGAATTTTTCTCTCTCTAAAACTCTATTTATTCTTCTTGAGGCCTTGGCTCTGCCTCAAACGAAGACAACCTTGCCTTGGTCCAACTAACTTCCACTTCTAGTCTAAATCAGCATGGGAAAGCTTGTCAGATAATCTAGCAAAGAGAAAACCAAAAGAATTTTTTAAAATTATAATGGCCAATATCTTGAGGAATCCTGGAAAAACTAAGCGATCTGATGAAATTTTATTATTATTGTCATTTTTAAATAGGCTTTTGTCCATGATTGGAACTCAGCTGTATTGGGATGATACTCTAGCTATACTCTAGGGCTGAGTTCAATCTAAGTTCAAGGAACACTTAAGACCTTTTTTGTTTCGTTACTATTCCTGTCTTCCTATGGATACACCAGGCAGGAAATACTGGAAGAGACACCAATCATGCTAACTGTCTTTTAAACACAGCCTTAATATTTCTTTAATAAAATAATAAATAATTTTAATGCACATTTGCAGTCACACAGAGAGATGTACTATAAAATGCCTTTGCAGGATTTCCAAACTATTTTGTTAAATAAGATAAACATAACACTGCATTCAAAGCTGCCTCAAAATACACGAGGCTGAACATGAAGTCTTCCTGGTTGCCTCTTCTCCAAAATGTTTACAATTCTATTTTCTATTACTCAATAGCAAGATCTTTTACTTACCCTTATAGCAAGGGCATATTCTTTGACTTAACAAGGTTCGAAAATTGGGAGGTATCTCGTAACAAATGCCATGTGGAAGTTTGTGCTCTGAAATATAATATACATTTTTCCATCTATGTCCACAGACCTAGATAAAAACGAGACAGGAAAATAAGCATGGCGATTAAAAAAAAATAGCTTGACAAAGTATAAAACTACTTTCAGAGCCACAAAGTCAAGACATTAATCCATCAATCAAATCCTACTATAGGGTTTCAAAGAAAAATATTTCAGAAATGCAGTATTTTTGCCTGTAGAGCTACAGCCCTCTGGTTAATTTATTATCAAACCAGAGACCTTTCCCAAATACTTAACTTACACAGAGAAATGCAATATAATACTTACAACAATAGAGCCATTTTCTCCTGGCTGCCTTGCTAGGCTCACTCCCAACCACTGATTGTCTCTTTCTTCAGTGCAGGTTTTTCCACACCTTTCCCCTTTTGGATCACCTTTAATAAAAAAAAAAAAAGATTTGTATAGGAACCTTTGAAAGTATTCAAAGCACAGTATCATTGTAGAGTTATTCTTAAATTGCAGGTAGTCTTTGAATTATGGTCCTAATTGGGATTGGAATTACCATAACTGAACAAAGCAATTGTTAAATGAAATATCATATGAACGCACCACTTAGCAATGGCAGTCTTAGCCATCCCAGTTGTAGTCATTAGGCCAGGACCTCATATTTCTCCTGCCCTGTGTGAACTGTCTCCATTCCAACTCTCTCTACATGTGTTGGCTTGCTTCCCAACACATCTGTCCTTTTGGTTGCCCTGCATAGTAGTGCCAAAATGAAGAGGCAACCAGAAAGTGGTACCTTCCCACTGTTGCCTTCCCACTGCTCTCCCAGCTAACTTTCACAGTCTCCACCTCTCCTCACCTCCACTGGGCTTGCTGCTCCAGCTGGCCTCAAGCCCCACAGTCTGTGTGTGTGTGGGGGGGAGTCCCTGGACTTGCCTCCACCACTGCCCCCCTGGCTGCTGCAAGGAGACTATGGTGGCAGAACAGAGACCTCTTCATTTTGGCTATGTTGTGCAGGACAGCCAAAAGGGCAGAGAGAGGGAGGAGACAGGTGAGGAGGGAGAGTTGAAGCAGGATGCAGCAATGGTCATAAATGCTGACTGGTTGCTAAGCACCAAATGTAGATCGTGTGATCACAGGGATGCTGCAATGCTCCCAAGTGCTAGGTTTTAAGTCCATTTTTTCAGTGCTGTCAGAACTTTGAACAGTCACTGAACAAACTACTTCTACATTGTTTATGTGAAAAGAAAATTATAATTAAACCAGTTAAGTTTCTATAACTCAAAATTACACCATAATGGAGACACCCTAAAAGAAAATGACATTGCTGAACTTTTTGCCATCATATGACCTTGTAATCTTAATTAATCTTAATCCTAAATATAATCTTTACGAACAAATCTCTCCTAAAAATCCAAACACCAAAATGGACACAAATGGAATGATGAAAACAATACAATGAAACCTTGGAAAAAATGGATTTATTGTAACAATGCAATTAAAAGGTTCTTTACACTTACCCAGGCTGCCTGCATCTTAGTTTATTATGCATTAGTACATGTGCATAAATAAAGTTTGAGTCAGTAAACATCATTCACCTAAAATAGTCAATAGCTATAAATATAAAATCTATATAGTTAGATTTATCTCCATGTCCATATTACAGAAAACACATGTTTGGCAGCAGGTGACCCAGCAAAAGAGAAGTGAAAAAGGCAGGGTAGATGAGTTAAAACTTTCATTGTCCTCAGAATTCTTAGTTTCATAGCAAATCCAAGGCAAAAATCACATAAAACCTCACAACCAGAATAACAAAGACGACTTTTAAGGTGTCTGTTACACCCAGCTGTAAATAAGAATTTGCATTTTCAGATAACCACGTTTCCACTTGCCACATATAACCACATGGGAGGCCACCAATTTCCTTTGTGTGATCTCGGGCTATGTGGTTATCAACTATTGCAGATGTACATTATTCTATCAAATGCTAAAATGCTCTTATCTGATAGCTTTTGTTTTTGAGGGCATATTTCATAGCTTCTTGTATTTTCATGCTGAAAAATAAGAATTCTACTTTTTAAACTTACATGACTTTGATGAATGTACATTGTACAAATACACATATCTAAAACTGGCTAGAAGTCACATCCAACATTGGGTTTAGCAACCTTTTTCAATCTCTCTCTTCACCCTTGCTCAGCATTTTAGAACTACCACTTGTCAAATTTGGAAAGATGCAGAAATCTGAAGAGAATTAGGTTGGAAAAAACTATGGTACACGCAAACAACCTTAATCATTGATTTCTCAAGACAATTCTTTCATAAAAGAGCTTGAAAATAATTTCTGCATGTCAATTCATAACTGCACTTGAAGTTCATGGGTGCTCTTATAAAAACTTAAGGAAAATCCATAACACCAGACTTTGATCTTTGTACAAAGTCTTTTTATAATAATGTTTCTCAGCCACATTCTATAATTCCAGCAGCATCATAAAATACAGTAAATTACATTCCATGATTTGAAGATTACAACTGTTTATGATTATACTATGTATGACTGATTTTACAGTAAGATTAATGTATTTTATATTTGTATCGTATCGAATGAAGTTAGAAGTTGTTTTATTTCCCCTACACACTTTTTTGGAGTCCAAATTTTGTGCTTTTTTGACTCCTTTTTCTAACTCCCATTTTTCTGTTTCTTTATATTTTATCCTTAAATTTAATAAAGTTTCTTTAAAAAACAAAGATTTCATTCTCAGTCCCAATAAGAACTGGGAATCTTAGGGAATGGAAAAGAGGTTCCACTGACAAAACTCCCATTTTGTCAACTCATAAGTGCACATAACAGAAGCAGATGTGTCCCCAAATACTGGTTAGACAGCATATTACTTCAAACCATCTGATCCAACCTGCTTAGCCCAATTCTATTAATGGTTGTATTTGGGATCAGAAGTATGATTTTTCTGGATTTTAAGCTTAGCCCCATTTGAATTATTTAGCTGTTCATAAGCTTTCTAAAACAATACACCAAATGTAAAAAGTAAAATACAGCATACCGTAAGGCACAGCTCATTTTCAAAATAAATATTCTAGATCTAGAAACATGTATGGTCTAATACGGGACAAGTCTTTTGTATTAAAACAAAAATGTCAATTCTTTGTAAAACCCTGGGATTGTATTTCCTAAATTAGGTAAAATGTTTATTTTGAAATACAAAACCATTCTAAAAGCAATTAGTATTCTTTTTTACTCCAACATATTTCCAGTTTGGCCAATACGCAAGATTTGCATTTGAGAGTTAATTATTTTAAAACAAAACTATATGTAACTATGTCAAAGGTTCTTCCTTTTTACAACTTGCACTGAAGAGTGAAAAACAGAAAAAATGGACACAAGTTTATGAGCAAGCATATAATGTTGTAAATGAAAATAAACAAAAATGCTTCAGAAAACCAAAAACAGCCTCATACGGATTAACTCTGAGAGGATAAACTTTTGAGAACTTCAAGACCATTTTCAAGAACCTGGAGAATTCAATCAGTCTTCTCTTCTCATGGCTAAACTACTCCAATTCTTTTAGCCTCTCCTGAGATTAAGTATTCAGTTCCTTCATTATCGTTGTTACTTTTGTCTAAATCAGTTCCAGTTTCTTTGAATGCTTCTTAAAGTGTTGTACTCAGAACTGAATATAATTGTTGGAGTGAGCCTAAACAATGCAGAATGTGGCAGACATATAACTTTCTATGATGTGGCAATTAAACTTTTGCTGATACAGCCTAAAATTGCATTTTTTGGTATTCACATTACATTGCTGATGCATACTCAGTGCCCAATTACTATTTTCTAAGATCTTCCTGACAAACAGTATTATTAAACCAGATAGGCATCATCCAATATTTAGTTCTGTTTTCTAGGAGAAGAATTTTACTTTTATGCAAAATTTAATTCTGTTGATTGCTATAACCTAATCTAAACCTATATAAACCTAATTCCTACTAACTTCTCCTATTGGTATCTTATGATGTATCACTTGTTTGTATCTTATGATTTATAATCTATGACTTACTACTTTGTTTTATGTATGTACACTGACAGCTTATGCACCAGAGACAAATACCTTGTTTATTACCTTATTTGGCTAATAAAGAATATTCCTATCAACATTGAATTTTTTTAGATTTTACCCCCCCTTTTTCCCCATTTACAACTGAAGGTAGTGAACATACCAATCCACCTTCTTCCTCCAACTTCCCTTATAACAACCACTCTGTGAGGTGAGTTGGACTAAGAGAGAATGACTGGCCTAAAGTTACTCAGACCATTTTTCATCCTAGCATAGGATTAGAACTCATAGTCTCCAGATTTCTAGGCCAACACCTTAATCACACCACTATTTCTCTCTTTTTTAATCTGATTTCTGCCTTCTGGAGTAATAAATATCCCACCCAATTATGCATCATTGCAAATTTGGTATTTTTCCACCTCTTCAAATTTCTAACAGAAATATTAACAAATACAAGGCCTAGGACTGAAACTTATGGGAGCCCCTCAAAACCACACTGCAGTGAAAAGCATTCTATGAGCATATTTCACTATAACTATCCTTCTTCTGCTTAGGATATTCAGTCATAGAAAAACAATCACTCTTCATATCAGATCATAACCCGCTCCCTCATTCTAGCTCAAGGGTCCCCAACCCCCAGCACTACTGGTACGTGGCATGGCAGAAATCAGGCTGCACAAACAAAGCCCCTCCACAGGATGCACGTGAAACCACAACCCCTCCGGTCTGCAGAAAAACTCTCTCCACGGAACCAGTGCCCAAAAAGTTGGGGGCCACTGTTTTAGCTCATCTAGCAAGTGGGACTGCAATTCATTGGAAAGGCACATGCTGTATACCTAGCAGGTCGAAATCTAACCATGGCACTCTCTAGTATGGCTAATATTGCTCTGCCTGATACTTGGGAAAGATTTCACCGGCGGCCCAATTTAAACCTCCTGGTGTTATAGGTCTTATTTTATTTATTTATTTATTTATTAAATTTATATGATGCCCATCTCTCAACCAAGGAACTCTGCATGGCTTAAAATACCATAAATAACAGAATAAAACAATTGCAGGATTAAAACATTAAAATATCAGACAACAGATATTAGAACATTAAAATTGTTTGCCACATTCCATAAATTATTATGAACATGAGAAAGGGTGAGTTTTAGTAGAAGAAAGACTCTTATTTGTAAAGAGTGAAGCAATGGGAAGCTGGATTTGTATACTAATTCCAACTGCTCCCCTAAAAGAAATACGAGTAGCAAGTTCTAGTCCACCTTAAAACTAATTTCATTTCTTCATGTTTCTTAGTTTTTAATAGTGGTCCTAAGAAAGTTTATAACAAATCTATCAAATCAAAGGCAACAAATCCCCCTTGCAGTTAATCTGCTTGCTTCTGTATGCTACCAATCCATACTGTACATATTTTGACTTACTTCACTGTGCTGAGTTGAGCATCATAATAGCTTTTTTGTGCAACTGGTTTGGAAATGACTCTAGCCTCCATTTCTGAGTAATTGCTTCTGTACTTAACAGACAATCCCAATTCCACTCCTGAGAACAAATTCTAAGCAGTCAATTTATTTAATTCACTGCTAAAAACCATAAGATTTATCTATAAAACAGAGAGTAATAAATGATAAATCTTACCGGTTGTGGTGATTCATTCTGAAAGTACTTTTCAAATGCCATGACCTGTCTGATGACATACCAATCTGAAAGTGCATCTTTGCTGAAAGTGCAAAGTGCATATCTTTCCTCGATGTGAAAATCAATTTATTCAAAGTTGTATTTTTAGTTCCAGGCTGATAGACTTGGAAGTTTAGTTTCGGGTTTAGTTATGCTGCACCTGGATGCAAGACTTCAATGTTTAAGTGAATTTACTAGATGGCAATGAGATAATTGTTTTCAAATTAAGAAAACCAATAAAGGTCTATTTTTTCAATATCTTGGTGATTTTAATGGAATTGTTACTATCCAAAGTTAAATGATAATTCTTCATGAAACTCTTTGCTTTATTATACTGTATAAATCTTCCACGGACTGTTTGAACATAGTTTGCTAGGGAAAGGAAGCCATAACTAAAAAAAGAATAATACATCTCTTCTTTCCTATAATCAACAGACAACTTATTTTATTAAATTACATTATATGTAGGGACACGGTGGCTCAGTGGCTAAGACACTGAGCTTGTCGATCAGAAGGTCGGCAGTTCAGCAGTTCAAATCCCTAGCGCCGCGTAACGGGGTGAGCTCCCATTACTTGTCCCAGCTTCTGACAACCTAGCAGTTCGAAAGCATGTAAAAAAACAAGTAGAAAAATAGGGACCACCTTTGGTGGGAAGGTATCAGCGTTCCGTGCGCCTTTGGCATTTAGTCATGCCGGCCACATGACCACGGAGACGTCTTTGGACAGCGCTGGCTCTTCGGCTTTGAAATGGAGATGAGCACCGCCCCCTAGAGTAGGGAATGACTAGCACATATGTGCGAGGTGAACCTTTAGCTATATCATACAATATAGTGTATATTATACTATAACATACACTTACAATCACAAGACCTATAACATATCCACCCAAAATCATACATACTACATTGCAATCAGGGGTGGGTTTCACATATTCTTACCACTGGTTCATCCCACATGTGCGCCTCCCGCGCATGCGCCCAGCCTGACATGAATCAACTTGTCAACTTAATCAACTTTTACAGTACAAAAATTTGCAAATAATAAAACCAAGTGATCTGTGACTTATTCGGCAAGTAAATCATGATTTTGAATGATTTGTGAATCAATTATTGAGTGATATTAAGATATTTCCTAAGGTAGTAAAATAATGCAACAACTTTCTTTGGCCCAATCCCTTCACACATACTGTAATGTAAATACTGCCATTTGAAGTTGCAGCTATGAAGTAATGAGCACAGATATATGATCCAGTCCACAGGAATCCTTAAGATTTAAAGAAAAGAGTTGATCTTTCACCTTGTCTTCAATGCATCAACACAGAGATTTTACTGTGTTCCCAAAAAGCCTACAGGGAATATATAGCACTCACTATGACCCTTTTCCTTGAATGGTTGTATTTTACATAAAGCTATACATTATGGCAGACAGATGCTCAGTGCTGAGAGCATTCCTTTGCCAATTTATCATGAGGTCTTCTAGTTACAGCATCTACTCATTGAGTAAAATACATTTCAGTAACCGAAATGAAAATCAATGTCCACTTAACCTAATTTTAAAATTCTAGAGATTGTTCTCCTCTTTTTGTTTACTGGCTAAAATTAAAACTTAACTTTGTCTCTGAAATTCATACACTCTTATTTCTGTAAATCTTTAAGAGTTCTCATAACCGTAAGCCATAAGCTTCTGAATAAATTATTCCACAAACTTTGTCTGTAAGAAGAAATTGAGACTACACGAGAGAACAGTTTTAGCTTCAAGAACTAATTCAGTGTCAACAGCTAAGAGATTTTAATCTGCAAATTGCTTTGAATCTTAATTATGTTGGAAGTTAACATCTTGTATGCTTTAACTATATTCTTAAAGTGTATGAATACCCTTCAAAGAGGTGCAAGCCATTAACAGAGCTACGTAGATATGCAGAAATTATTTGCTGTTTATGGGCCTCTAACGCCATATCAATTTATGAAGCTTTTATTTTGTTTGTGAATATTAATATACCCAGTCAACTAAGATCCAAAAAATGTATTGCTTTCTGATTTCAGTGCGTTTTTAAAATAAGCACTTGGTAAAAGAAACTGAACTATACTTTTGACAAAATCTACAATTTGGAATGCAAATTTTCCAAATTTAATTTGTAACTAACAAAACATGCTGCTTTGGATGTCTTGTTGAAGAAACTATATTTAAGTATTATATATTATATTTATTTATATTATATAAATATATATTATATTTCAGTAAATACTAATATATATTGTAATGAAATAAAGAAAAAAAACTCCAAGGTTGAAGCATCAGCGAGCACATGTTTACATATTTACCACGGGAAGCACTACCTATAAAGCTAATAAATCTTTTTCTTTCAGAATAATCAACTTTTATGTCCTGACCTTAATCTTTTATCATTTCATTTTATGAAAGCCATTACAAGAGTGGCACCAGGAAATTACCGTTTCCCCCAAAATAAGACATCCCCTGATAATAAGTCCAATTGGGCTTTTGAGTCCATGGCAATAAGGCCAAGCACTTATTTCAGGGTTCAAAAAAATGTAAGACAGGGTCTTATTTTCGGGAAAACATGGTACTAAAGGACAACTTGATTTGGTATATAAATGTTATAATGAAATACAGTGATGCAGAACATTCTTGTAAAGTGTTTATCTAATATATTTGATCAACTGATTGTGATTGAAGCATTTCAAAGAACTTCTATTTTCAGGTCAGCAGCACTGACCATCAGTGCAAGAGAGGATTCTACATTAATATGGCTAATAATCAAAATCCCCAAGGACAGAGAAGAGTGTTTATCCTTACAGTGAAAGCACAGGAGGAAGATAGGCAGAATCTTACACTGAATTGCTTATATATAGGTTCTGTTTTCTGGAAGCAAAGTTACGTGCTTGAATACTCGTATTAGCAACAAATTTTCCTAATAAAGCTTATTAAATCTGAGCTAGAGAGAAGTCTTTCTTTACTCTTCTTCTCCAGGCCTGATTGTTGCTTAAGGTGGTCTGACAACCAACAAGGCGAGATCAAATTTTCAGTTCCACTCACCCACTTGGAGAATCTCACAATCTCTTTTAGGATTATTTCCAATTTGGCATCTGAATATTGCCCCTGGATTCACCACAGAGCTATTACTGGGCCAGCTGGCTTTAGGGGCTCCGGCTATAAGCCTGAAGGAAGAAAGAGAGAGATTTAAAACACACAGACACACACACAAAAGCTGTCCAGACTTGAGTAACCAAGCATTCATTCAGTGACTAGGACTCACAGAGATACCAAGAAAGAAACAGAAATGAATGCTTCCACTTATAAAACTGGAAGACTCCCCCGCTCTGCATTAATAGCTAGCTTGTGGTAAGTATGGAAGGGACAGCACATGAGGAAGAACACAAGCCATAATCCAAATTTGAGGTGAGGAAGTAACTGTCTTCCAGCTGGTAACCTCTAGATTATGGTGACTTTATTTTCTTGGAACAATTAATGGCTAAATCTGAAAAAGGGGAAAATCTGAAAGAGGTTCGTAAGGATAAAACATTTTATGTTTATAACTTTGCTTTGCAAAAGAAAATTCAAGGACAAAAAGCAAGAAAACCTTTACAAAAAGAACACAAATATCTAACAGTGTCGGTAAATTTATTTTAAAAAGTTAATTCAGCTTCCAGATTTTTCACAGCAACGTGCATTTTGTATATCCTATAAAAGATAAACGCCGGTATGATAGGACAAAAAGCCAATTTTTCAACAGTAAAGACCTCCCCAAGGACAGCTTTTCTTCGAACAATAAAAACCAGTATTGTTCCCGTTGTTCCAAATGTGTGCAGAGATCACAAGGGATTGCAATTCCAAGTCATCTCAAGGCACACCAGGGTTTGGGGAAGGCTGCGATGCCAACGCTCTCCACCAAACTTTGCTGGAAACAAAAAAAAAAAAAACTTTCCCAGATCTGGAGGCAGCGCCCACTTTTGACTTAGCCTGACTCAGAACAAGAGGTCTCACCTCCTGCTTTGAAACCGCCGTTGAATAAAACCGTAACCGTCCAAGGCAAGGCATACTCAAAGAGATGCGCTTGGGGTGGGGGCTGAATGGCGGGGGACAGAGGGGGGGGACCAAAATCCTCCGTCCCCCCGGGACAAGCGAGCAGCCTCGAGGGGAAAGCCCCCCCTCCTCTTCCTTTACTCACCACCGGCTGGTGCCAAAGCTGTGCAGCAGCACCGAATAGCCGAACCACGTCCCATTGAGCCCTTCGAAGACCAGGGGGCTCCGAGTATCTAGATTGTAAGGGCGGCAAGCCGTCGGGCAACAGCTTAGCAAGAACAGCAGCTGGGTGGAGGAAAATCCCATCTTCGGCTTGTCCCAGGCAGCCCACATCACTAACTTGGGGTTCTTGGAGGGAGGGAAGGGGTGGGCGAGTGGAATGAGGTGGGATCAAACTATATAAGCAAAAAACAAAAAAAAAAGTTGGTCGCCTCCCGCTGCTTCGCTCCGTTAAGACTGGACGAGACGGAGCCCCGGCGACAGGGACTGGAGGGAGGGGTTGAGGGGGGGTGAGATACTCCCTCCGCCGTTACCGCCGCTGCTCAAAACGCCAAGTTGGGATGGCTTCTCATGACTTACTATTGCTGACGCTGCGCTTTAGCCGCCCTCGCCCTCCTCCACCACCACCGCCGCCCCCCGCCCCCCTTTTCGAGCCGCGGGGTGGGCTTTGCGGCCGACTCCCGACGAGTTTCCGGGGGCGCTTCGCTTCGCAAACCCTTTTCACACAGCGCCAAGTTGACTCCCGGAGGGCGGGAGTCCGAGCTCTCGGGGGCCGCCGCAGCTGCTCTCAATTTGGAGCTGATGCCTGCCTGACTCTGCGGATGTCAACGAGGCGGGCGGGGGGGGGGGAGAGGGAGGGTTATGTATGTATGAAAACTTCCTTGGGTTGCCCCGGAGAATGACCTGGCGGCGCCGGGCGGGAAAAGTCTGCGGTCTTGGGAACTGGCGGCAGATTAAACTGAAGGGAAAATCTTCTCCAGAAGTACCTGGAGGCAACTCTACACGTGGCATCCTCCTCTCTCTCTCTCTCTCTCTTTCTCTTTCTCCCCCCCTCCATATTTACCCCGCAGGTAGACTGGGACGCCACCCGGGGAAAGCTCCTTCAGCCCACGGACTTCCCCAAATCACGTGCCAAGCAGAGGCCACGAAAAGCGGCTAACGGGGTTCCAAATTCTCTCGGGCGACGTTTAAGTTCCAAAGTCGTGAGTCAGCGTCTGCGAACACATTATTTCTCCCTTATTATCCCAAAGGCGTCCATCGGTCCGGAGCGAATTTAAACCCTCAGCAAAGAGGTTGGAGGACCCAGAAGTCTGGCTGTTGGTAACATGCTCTTGGCTGTTTCTAATTGAGATTATTGCTCCCCCCCCCACTTCTCCCCCATTGAGGATTTGGGGAATGGTGTAAAAATAAAATGGAGTTAAGTGCTTGTAAAATAAAACTGAGGCGGAACCAACTGGGTATTTTTTGAGATGAATGAGAACAATCCTTATGAATGAAAGTCTTTCCGTGGTAAACTTTTACTATCCCCTTAACTTAACGGAAGCCACCCAGGACAGGGCAGAATTGTTAATCGCTTTGAAATGAAGTGACATAAAATTCTCACTACATACCGTCATAAACATATCTCCATCACTCTGCTAAACAAATAATTCCCTCAACACTGTCAAACTATTTACTAAGTCTGCACTACCGTGTTTCCTGGAAAATAAGACCCTGTCTTATATTTTTTTGAACCCTGAAATAAGCATTTGGCCTTATTGCCATGCCCTCAAAAGGCTTATTATCAGGGGATGTCTTATTTTGGGGAAAACAGGGTACTATTAATCTTCTCATCGTTCCCACCACCCATCTCCTTCCACTTCTGACTGTATGACTGTAACTTTGTTGCTTGTATCCTTACGATTTATATTGATATTGTTTCCTGATTGCTTATTTGTACCCTATGACTATCATTAAGTGTTGTACCTTACTGTATGATTCTTGATGAACATATCTTTTCTTTTATGTACACTGAGAGCATATGCACCAAGACAAATTCCTTGTGTGTCCAATCACACTTGGCCAATAAAAAATTCTATTCTATTCTATTCTATTCTATTCTATTCTATTCTATTCTATTCTATTCTATTCTATTCTTACTCCTACTCCTACTCCTACTCCTACTCCTATTCTAAACACTCCCAAAGGTTGCCAGACTGATGAAGGCTAATTTGGTGTGTGACTCCAACCTTTATATAACAATGAGGCTTCACATATGTGAAGAAGTATAGTATTTAAAAGGCTGTCAGCTCATACTGTTATCCAAATATTGCTAATATGGTATAAAAAGCAATTAGATTAGGATTAGAATGTCTATATCAATATTCCTTAACCCTAGCAACTTCCAGATGTGCGGATTTCATTGCTGAAAATTGTAGAAGTTGTTCTACAATTTTCAGCAATGGTCCTATTTGGTGGAAAATTTTGGGAGCTGAAGTTACCAGGTTTGTGAACACACTGGTTAGTGTGGAGTGAGCACAGTGGGATTACTGTGGAGTGAGCACAGAAGAGTGTGGTGTTTACTAACAATCCTCACCAATCAGAGTCTGAAATCATAAAACATACATTAGATTACAATGTTACTATGTTCTGCTAACTTAATATTATAATATACATGAAATGTATATATCATATATATTTATGGTTTGGTTGTGCCAATCCAGACAATTGTGCTAATGATCCAATAATTCTATCCAATAGTTCTATCAACCAGATGATGATTGTTTAAATTTATTATAGCCACCCATTCCTATATCCTCTACAAACCCACAACACTAAACAGCATTAAAAACATACAATCGCACAGGCAGCCCAGACTAAATCAAACAATTAGAAATCAAGCTTTGCTGTCTGTCTTTCAAGTCAAGGAACCAATAAATGTTTTTGTTGTATGAATCTTTTTCACAATGCACCAAGCAAGCTGGTTCCAGGAACAGAACAAAATAAAAAAATTGTCTAATAAAAAAAAGTCCTTGTTAGTGGTCTGCTCTCCCCAACTCCAATTCATTCTATCTACGCTGAAGGAATTAAGAAGCACTGTGTTCAGATTTCTGAATGATTACAGGAATCTGGTACATTGCAGAACCAAACTTTTTGCATCAGGGAAAGACAAGAAAAATAATAGACTTTCTACTGGATGATATCCATAATCAGGACCACTAGAGAATGTAATATAAATCATCCAATTAATACAGTGAAATGAACACTTCGGACAACCTCAAATGTGGAAAAAAAACAACTCCCAAGATGTGGAATTCAGAGTTCATAGATATACAGGTACTTACCATTCTGGACAGCTAACTATTTAGGAGGCTAAACAGTGCAGCAGCATGTTGTAAGCAGATTTTATTTATTAATATGTTTATATATTATTTATCTGGAGAGCGAGATGGGCTACATATAAATTTAAATAAATACATATTTAAATAATACATATTTATCTTGCCTTTATTATCTTTTATATAGAATTCAACGGGATGAACATACCTAATATTCCTTCCTCCTCCTCCCTTCCGCAAAGCAACCCTTTAAACTTTCGGCTAAAGTTAAACGTTGGGCTATGAGAGAGTGACTGGCCCAGAACCAGCTTTTATGCCTAAATTCAATTTTATGCCTAAATACGCTCACAGTCTCCAATTTCTACCCTGGTGCCTTACTCACTAAACCAAACTGGTTCTCAGAATTCAATGAGAAGGATGTTACGGTTTTCCTACATCTATCTATTTCTGGGTGCAGATGTATGGCATTACATGCATATTAGGCACAATAAATCATCATTTGTTTGTAGCTACTCGATCTGTCATCTTTCTATTGCATTGTAAGTTTCCATGATCCTAACTGAATGCTGCAATTTTTAGTGCTATGCGCCTTTTGAGTGCAAAACTTCATGAAACTGCAAAATCTTCCATTTCAGGTATGAGACCAGTTGTATCCAGCATAGAAAATCACTTTCTGAGCATTTCAGAAGTGTTCCAAACTTAAAATATTTTGTGCTTGAATTAGAGGTGTTTTGACCTTAAAATGCTTCCCAAATGTAAGTAGCCCGTTCACGTTTGAAACTGTTGTTTTACATGCAAAATGGAAAAATTCACGAAGTTTTACATGCAAAGCAGTTTGAATCAAAACATTTTGGATACCTTTATTCTTAATTAATCTGTAATTAATCTAGGGACTTTCCTAAATTGGAGCTTATTTCTTCTTTCCCATCAACTGGAGGAATGTGATTTGGGTGGAGGCAAGATAATGTGACAAATAGCAAGACAAACAGAAACAAAACAGGTGAGAAGAAATTCTGTGGCTTCCTGATACTAGTGGGAAGATGTCAGGGGGCAGTTATTTTGCAGAACATTTTTGGTTTGAAAGTTTAGTAGTTGGGGGGGTGTCCTCTTTTTTTTCCTTTCTGATTGGGAAGATGTTTTGGTCACATGAGTCCTAGCTGCCCCTGATAGGAGGGGAAGTAGCCTTGTAGTTTGGGCTGAGGGCTATACGGCTGGAGGGATCAGATTGGCTGTTCCAGGGAAAGGGAGCTCTGTCCACTTCTAACCTGCCAACCCCTGCGAACCAGGTGGTCAGTTGTGGGTGCCATAAGTGGTTGATAGTTAATGCTAGATATGTCTGCAATAAGATTATTCTCATCCATCATTTGGTATTGGATGAGGCAATGAAACTTAGGTGAGATGAAATTCTGTGGCTTCCTGATACTAGTGGGAAGATGTATTACCTGGCATGTATTATCAAATCCTAGCTGGGTGATGATGTTGCCATTGATGGGGATTACCCAGCTAGCTAACAAATCCTTCAACACAGTGGTGAAATCCAATTTTTTTTTACTACCGTTTCAGTGGGCGTGGCTTGGTGGGCGTGGTGTGGCTTGGTGGGCATGGTGTGGCTTAGTGGGCATGGCAGGGGAAGAATACTGCAAAATCCCCATTCCCTCCCCACTCCTGGGGGAAGGATATTGCAAAATCTCCATTCCCACCCCACTCTGGGGCCAGCCAGAAGTGGTATTTGCTGGTTCTCTGAACTGCTCAAAATTTCCTCTACCAGTTCTCCAGAACCTGTCAGAACCTGCTGGATTTCACCTCTGCTTCAACATCAGTACCATGGCTAGAGAAAGGAGTGTGGTGTCTCTAATTGTAAAGGATGTCTTATCTGTGACAAGAATGCTGCTGTAGAGATAGCAGAAGGTGAAAGTCTGTTTATCCTATTAGGCTGGTATGTCAGTTGTAATTCCATCCAGGGTAGGAGGATGTACCTATAGCAATTCATACAGTTATCAGGTTGGATCACTGTAACATGCTATATGGTATTTGGGACTGTTAAAAACTGCTCTGAATATACCCCAAAAGGTTTTTTTTCAAAAGGCAACTGGATTTTGTTTTTCCTTGAAGACATTTGCTTCTCATCCAAGAAGCTTCTTCAGTTCTGATTCTGAAGCTTCTTGGATGAGAAGCGAAATGTCTTCAAGGAAAAACAAAGGAAGTCCAGTTGCCTTTGGAACAACTACTACCTGGATGACAGAGAATCTCTGTAGATGTTTTGCTCTGAATCTATAATTGGTTCAAAAGACAGTGTTCAGCTCCTACTTCCCAGCTCCTATTGTTGAGAGTTTATAATCCATTTTAATGGAACCTGCATTGTTTGCCAGCTGGTTTTGGGATACAGTTTAAGGTCTGGTTTTGACTTAAAAAGCTCTTTATGGCTTAGTGGCTGGATATCTGCTGGACCACTTACTCCAACCAATATTGGCCC